ATCTAAAGCTATACAGTCTGTATTCATTGAGTTAGTTTTTTTTTTTTTTTTTTTTTTAGCTAATAGGGGCATGTTTCATTATTCTCTTTTAGTGGCTTTCGTGACAAAATTCTCAACAAAAATTGTTTTGTCAAGGTCTTAGAGGGTTGAATTGATGTTTAGGATGGTGCAGCCTTGATATAAACCTCTTAAATTTGGAGATAGGAATTGAAGAGAAACTGGATGGTGACAAGCTGTCTCTGACATTATGTGCTAGGTTTATTAGTTCATTAAATGTATAAATTGATACTCCAGCCACTTAAAAAGGACTTTGAAAGAGCTTGCCTAGCAAAATTAAGCATTGTTAAAAATGTATTTTGCTTTTGTGTACACTAAAGCTAATTAAATGTAGCAGTGAAATAGATGTCAGTAGACATTTGAGATAGATGTTAAGGCTACTGATCTAAAGTTGATATTGGGCAAAACTGGGCAGTACCCAGGGACTCCAGACAGTTATGGGGGGACCCGGACCCCATGTTGCCCCATTTTAAAAGTTAGTGCCTGCTCATTCATATATAAAGAGCAAAGTCATCAAACTCTGGTGTGTCCAAAGATTTTTAATAGGTGAGAGTTTCAAAGGGAGTAGAGAAGGGGAGAGAGGACGACTTCACAATATGGAGTCCCGATCAAACCCAGAAATAAACAGTCCCTGTGGGCAGATGTTCAAGCAGGCAAGGCCCAAAACAGAGCAGCCAAGGCCCAAGAACAGAGTCCGAGGAGAATGTATTCAAGGCATCCAACCCCCTGGCAGGAAATACAAGCAAGAGGTTGTGCAGTGCTCCTGAGGGCTGGGAGGGGAGGAGAGAACCCAAGTGCAGAGTGCACCCTTCAGTGGCTAAGATGGCTGTCCAGAGTTTCTCAAGAGGGAGAAGCTGGAAAATGTGCACAGATGGGGACCAGCTGATAGGTTGCACTAGGGGTCTGAGCAGAAGCAGGCGCTGCCTCTTCCCAAGCCAAAGGCTCCCCTACGACCACCTGCTGGCTCTGTTCTTGTAAAGTTACCAGACACTCCTCATTGCTTCCAGCTGTCCCTATTCAAGAAGTCTGCTGCGAGTCCAAGCTTCACGACTCTGTTCCACCTTCCCCAGCTGTCTTCGTTCAGGAAGTCACAGGAGCGGAGACACTCAAAACTCTCTTACAAAATCAGTGAGATCTCCAGAAGCCAAGGCACAAGAAGGGAGAAACATATTAAAAAGTCACCCATCTTTGATAAAAAGTGATCATACAGGAACTAGCTGAATCATTGTCATTTTTAATTCAAGGAGAATATACTTTGTGAATTCTTGCATAAGGAATTTTTGGTAAAAATATTTCTTTAACAGGTTTGGAAAGGACTATTCTAGAGGGAATTTTTTTTCAACCTTCTTTCCCAGTTGAGCATTTAATATTAAAATTTAGTGCAGGCATTCATTGAAAAATTAGATGAATGATCTATGCCTATTTTCTGATGATTAGATTTAATAAATGAGATTTTAGAGAATGTAGAGAAATGGTTAGTTAGAAACCTGTATGTATTGGCTTTTGGATGAAAAGTACTCAGTATTTATCTGAGCAATATCTTAAATTTCAGCAGTAGGCACACTTTTTTGAAAATAAGACCTCATGAAAAAATGGTTGGCTTTTCAAGCTGTTAGAAATGTTTTAGAAGTCTAAGTTAGCTTTTACTTACCTCATCCCTTCCCACCAGCCCCCAAAAATCAAGCCAAGTTGCTAGAACTCAGACTTACTAGTGCTTGCTTGGGAACTTCAGGTCCTTACCACACAAAATGAAAGTAGTAGTGTTTTCTCAGCCATAGAAGGACCTGATACTTCTTCATTAACCTATTAATACAGATTACTGTAGAGTCTACCTTCAAGTATGAGTGAATGTTGGGTGCGTTCTTTTAATATTATGATTCACTTAACTGGAATACCTATTAAATAGATGGATTTTAGTTTTAATAATGGCTAACTTTGTTGAGTAACTTTAGTTTGTTAAAAGCTTTATATATAATATTTGTGAAAAAAGTATCAATTTTGTAAATGAGAAAACAGGTCCGGCTTTTAGCAACTTGTAATAAGGTAACAACGTCTTTCTGTGCAAAGCTTTGCTATGTCATACTTTGTATATATTTATTCATTTTAATTCATTAGCAAGTGTCTGCTCTGCCAGATGCTGAGGATACAGTTGGAGAAAAGGGTAATAATCTAAACATATAGATAGGGTTTCTGTTCTGACAGCGTTTTCCTCTAGAAGGTGAGGGCACAAGTGGCTGGAAGCAGCCCGTGCCTCCTAGGAAATTCTGAGAAACTCACTGCACTGAAAGCACTGTAGAGTGTATCGATGTTATTTTGCACTTGGTGAATAGACTGGCATGTACATAGAGTTTCTAAAGCAGATTGGTAGGAACTGAGGCTGTGAATGTATTAAAATTCCCTGAAATTTTGAGAGGTAACTTCTTAAAGGATTTGATGGGACCCTAACCCTGGTCATGCAATATCATCAACTGGGAGTGTTTTTTTTTTTTTTTTTAATAGAGGCATGTTTTTTTTTTTATTTATTTATTTTATTTATTTGTTTGTTTGTTTTGTTTATACATGCACTGGGTACAGTCAGAAGCGCGGGAGGGTGAGAGAATTCACCAGAGCCAGAGCGGGGAGCAGAGCAGGCAGAAGGACCGAAGGACACTGCTGAGGGGAGCAGCGGGCGGCAGGAGAGGTCTGCGCGCCATGTGGGACCCTGCCCCGCAGCCTCCACGGAGCCGGTTGAACCAGCTGCTCCAGAGGCTGCGGGCAGGTTCCCACCCAGCGCGCAGACCGCTGCGCCGCCCGCTGCTCCCCTCAACTGTACTTCGGTCTTCTGCCTGCTCTGCTCCCCGCTTGGCTCTGGTGAATTCTCTCACCCTCCCACGCTTCTGAACTTAACCAGTGCATAAAACAAAACTTACAAACAAGCTCTTAGTAAATAAATAACATGCCTTTTGGAAAAAAAAAAGTCAAGTATTAGCTAAATAATTGTAAAGTAAATATGAAAGTATATAATGAATGTTTCAAAGGTGAACGGTAATATAATCAGTGTAAATGGGCGTATTGATCTGGTTGGGAAGGTTGGAAGGGTTTTCCTCATTTGGTGGTTTAAGATGGCTGAGTGTGCATTTTCTTGTGGGGGACCCTGGCGGATAATATTCCAAATAGAAGGGGCAAGTCCATTTTAAAGATTCTGTGACAGGAAACTTAAAAAAGACCCTTGTGCTGGGAGCAGAAGGCTGGAGCGCAGAGGGCTAGGCAGGGGAGCACAGTGTGAGCTGAGACTGGAAAGGTGGACAGGAGCTGGACCAGGCAGAGCCTTGGCATATACAGATTTTCTGTTGATCCAAATGGTGGGAAGTCATTGACCCTTTGAGGGGATAGAAGGAAGGGGTGGATATCCAGTCAGTGACCTGAGCAGATTAATTTTTGAAAAGCTAGACATGCCACACCATTTTAGGTGTTCTCCAGGTGAAGTCTGTGGTTGGAGGAGGAAGAATAGACAAATATGGGGCAAACTGGATAAAAATCAGTAGCTTCAATGAGGCATAAGTTACACGGGTACTGTACTGGAGCAAAAGTTATAGAGGACTCCTTAATTTATAGTTGATTACCCAACAAATTCTGTTTGAATTGCTTTTAAAGTCTGTTCAGGTTGTCTTGGCAGTGTTCGAATGGCCTAAATGTTAGTTTCCAGCCTTGCAGTTAATATCTTACAGCATTTTGTTAAAATTCTTAGCATTGTTGAGTATGCCAGTTTAATCCACATTCACTTCAGCTTGTTTATTGTTGCTTAGTTTCACCACCTTTTTTTTTTTTTTTTTAAACTGTTTTTGTTTTTGTCTAAGCTGAATTATTCTTTGCTTCTCTGAGGAATTTCAACACAAAATTATTTTGGAGGAGGAAGGAAATTGTTAAACAGTAGATCACCTGATGTCTAATGATAGTATATTAAGATATAATCCACATGCCACACAATTAAAAGGAAAAATGCAATAATTTTTTAATATAGTTGTGTATCCATCACCACAATTAATTTTTGAATACTTTCATCACTCCAAAAAGTGGTAGTCACTTATTTCTCCCCAACTCTCCCAGCTATAGATAGTCACCAATAGATTTGTCATTTCTGGACATTTCATATCAATGGAATCATAATATGTGATTTTTTAAATGTGACCTTTTAAACTTTCCAACAAAGATTGTGGCAGGTGTCAGTTCTTCATCCTTATATTTCATTGAGTGGAGATAACATTTTATCCATTCATCAGTTGATGGACATTTTGGGTGGTTTCCACACTCATAAATTTTTAATGAATAATGCTGCAAATGACTATTTGTGTAGTTTTTATGTGAACATAATTTTTTAAAGATTTATTTATATGTACAAGAAGTGGGGTACAGGCCAGCGGTGTGGGGTGGGGGGTGAGAGGATTCACCAGAGACAGAGTGGGTAACAGAACAGGCAGATGGACTGAAAGCTCTGCTGAGGGAAGCAGCTGGCGAGGCAGGAGAGGTCTGTTGCGCCTTGTGCGTTGCTCTCTGGCTGGCCAGGGATCAAACTTGTGACGCAGAGGTTGCGGATAGCTTCACAGTGCTGTGCTTAACCCCTTGTGCCATCAGGGAGGCCCTATATTTAATTTTTTGAGCAACTGCTGAATTATTTTCCAAAGCAGCTGCACTATTTTACATACCCACTATCACTGTGTACAGGTTCCATTTTCTCTATGTTTTTACTGTCTTTTTAATTTTAAGCAAGTAAGTATAAAGTGATATCTCATGGTTTTGCTTTTCATTTCCCGCATGGCTAATGATGTTTAACTCAATTTTTAAAAGAAAAGCAGCATCCTTGATTTCCTTGTGAATATCAAAAATAGAAATGTTTGGTAATTTCATGTAATTGATTGGAAACAGCTCCTTTTGCTGTATTTAAATTTTGTTTTCCTTTCTAACAGTTGTATTCCCTGAATGACTACAAACCACCCATTTCTAAAGCGAAAATGACCCAAATTACTAAGGCAGCCATCAAAGCTATTAAGGTGAGTAATAAATTTTACTCTAGTGTTTTCAGAAGAAAATAGGAAACAGTATTTTGGAGGAGGTGTAATTTTTAAGGATTATATGTTTCTTTTCTCTTTATAGTGTTAATACATGTTCTTATGTGAGAAATCTGTATAGCTGTCCCCTACAAATGTGCTCACCTATGGATACACTTAACATTTTAACAAATATTCTTCCATAAACTTTGAATCATTCATTGTCTCTTCCATTTCCTAGGCAGGTAAGATTTTAGATACATTCACATTATAAAGAACCTGATTTACACTGTTATTTGTCACATTGACTTCAAAGAAAATTGAAATAGGAGTTAGTAAATAATAAATAAAAGTTAATTTTTTTCCCCTTACTGAGTCTACTATAGATTTGAAAATGGGCCATTCTGGAAAATGATTGGGGCTCCTTGTACATAGCATGTTTGAACTGTATAGGAATCACCTAGTCATTGCCTTGGTGAAATGACTTTGAATCTGTATTGATTCAAAGATACTTCTGAAAGTCTGAGGGAAAACTTGGGCCTCTAGAGAAATACAGACATGCACAAAATTTTGCATAAAATTGCTTGACATTAAAGAGTTTTTTCAACTCAACTATAAATACCTTTCTTAGAGGTTTTCATCCCTAAAGCTAAGACTCTGCTCAGAACTCTTAAAATTGAGAATTAATGTTTATTTTTAATTAGATATTAACCTGTGGATATTGGTTATGTGTTTTCCTACTCTAAGAAGTGAAGCACCAATTATTTAAATAAATTGTCTTCAAATAACAGTGTTATTGCTATTAGATTTAATGAATTCCTATTTACAGAGAATTGCAACTAGGAGGAAATTCAGATACTCGATTAGTTTTCTAATGTCCAAAGCTTTGTTTTTATACTTGTAAATATTTTACAGCATTATAGTTAAAATCTTTGTATCTATACATAGGAAATTTAAAAGAAAATAAGGACAGTGACTGAGAAATACAATTAAGGCAGAGACTTCTTCAAAGAAGTGATTTTTCAAGGTGTTGCTAAGGCTTAATATAGAATGTTAAGTCTCATGCTTGCTTTATCTACCTTTCTGCATGTGATCTGATTTTTTTTGATCCTGAGAGTGTGCAAGCGTGTATATTTTTATTCTGTGAAAATCAGTAATTATTGCGCTTAACATAACTTGAGCAGAATACTCCTGATTAGAAGGCTTCATAACAGGTATTGACACAATTCCCATTTTTCAGATACTGTTCTAAGAGAGGTGAAGTCATTTGCAGTAGAATAAATACAGCTAGATATTAAGTCCAGCTTATTTCACTTCAGAGTCTAAACTTGATCATGTACTGTCCTATTTTGCTTGTTTTAACTTTTGGAAAAAAATGAGGTGTTGCAAAATATTATAAACATAGTCTCCCCTTAGACTGACAGATTGTTAACCGTTTGCTGTATTTGCTTTTATTTCTACTATCAGGCATTGCATATGGACAGTTTTTTGTTTTTTTTTTACTGAATCACTGGAAAGTTTGTTTCAGACTTCATAATAGCACTTAATCCCTAAATACTTGAATTTGAGTTGTCTAAGAACAAAGACCTTTTCCTGTCACAGGCAAGCAATTGTGTTTCCTAGTTGTCTGGGTATTGACTTTAGTAAGTGTACCCTGCACCCATGTTTTCTTAGACTCTAGAGCACAGTTTCATTTGTTTGTGCTGTCACTCAGCCTTTTTTGTTTTTCATGACATTGATATTCTGAAGAAATCAGACCAGCCGTTTTACAGTACTATATTTTAACCTGCATTTAGCACATATATAAGTTTAGATTGATTTTTTTTTTTTAAGATTTATTTATTTATGCATACAAGAGCTGGGGTGTAGGCCAGAGGTGCGGGACATGGGGGGTGAGAGGATTCACCAGAGAGTGGGGAACAGAATAGGTGGGTCAACTGAAGTGTATTGCTGAGGTGAGCAGCAGGTGAGACAGGAGAGGTCTGCTGTGCCATATGGGTCAGCTCCCTTGCCAGGGATTGAACTCATGCCGCAATGGCTGGCAATAGCTTGATAGTGCTGAGACTTTACCCCTGTGCCACCAGGTGCACCCCATCTTTTTATCTTCCCGTTTATACTTGCAGTTCCATTTTCCAGGAGAAGCACAAGGAGAGAATGAAGTTGAAAATAGCCTTCTTGCATACATTTGTTTATTCTTTTTTATTGACCTGTGTTTAACTTACTTGATGAAATGATACTGAAGGAAATCTACTTTTCCTTCAATAAGAATATACATCTACCTGCATGCTTATCACAGCTGTTTTGCTGTCTGTGTAACTATTTGTGAATGTGAGCTTTCTTGAAGAGTTGATAGAATTCTTCTGTACGTGTGTAAGGTAACACAGATAACAGATAATTTAGATATACTAACATATACCTACTTCAATAATTTCTTTGCTAGTTCAATAGCATAGCTAGTTGCTTATGAAGGTGAGTGACATGAATGTTTGTCTCCAAGTTTATAATTACTGTTTTTGTAGACCTTTGAAGCAGTGTTAAACCCCATGTTTAGCAGGAAAATTCTAATGTGATCAAATAGATTAAACAACTGCACTTTTCCCTCTTTCAGTTCTATAAACATGTGGTACAGAGTGTTGAGAAATTCATTCAGAAAGTAAGTATATCATTTTCTATATATGTGCTAAATATACTGTAATTATAGATTCATACCTTGTGTTTTTGTCTTTTAAATCAAATACCCAAGTTTAAAAGTGTCTTGGTGAACTGTTAAAAGGTGATTCCATTACTTTTATTTTTAATTAAGAATAAAATGAAAATGCATTTCAGATCATTCTAAAAGAGTAGCTTTAAGTTAGATGCCTTTGTTAATTTGCATAACCATAGTGAGCACCTGTTTATTGATCAAATGGTATCAATATGATTGACTTTTAATGAAATGATAAACTCACTGCTTTTCATAAACTTAAAAAAAAATTCTCACATGTCATTTCAAGCTAAATGCCTAGAGAGCAGCTCTCCTTTCAGATAGGATGTGGATAAAATTTTGCTTTACCAGCTACTTATCTTCTGCTGACTCACTTTGCCTCATCCATTAGGACATTATACTTAATCTTCATGTTACTATATAAACATGAAGCTCTATTTTTTCAAAATGAGCAGAAGAAGATAAAATGAGATAAAATAGCTGTCTTGTGTATATTTAATAATGTTTTTGTAACCAGGATCTGAAGTGACTTTTTCCTCTTTGTGATCAGTTCCCTAATGTGTCACAGTTTTTGGTAGGTGTATTTAAGAGCTAGAAATTCAAAATGATACGGTAGCAGATCTGTACTGATAGTGAATTTAGGTTTCCTATTCTGCTTGTGTTCATGTCCCTTGACTGTAAACAGAGCTAGATTGAGGATTCAGAGGTATGTGGCGTTAAGGATTTAGCAAGGTTGAACTGTGTTTCTTAACAAAAAGAGGTGACTGCTAGAAGGATGCAGCAAATCAAAGTGAGATTACTGGTGTTACATGCATGCATCTGGTCTGTGCAATTTAGTCACATGTATTGATTCATAGAACTACTGCCGTCATTAGATACAGATCTGTTCCATTATCTCAAGGATCCTTTTTTTTTTTGGTAGCCACATTCAACTTTCCTCCTCCCCACCCTTAAGGCCTGGCAATCACTAGTCTATCTGTTCGCTATAATTTTGCAATTTCAAGAATGTTACATAAATATAATCTTAGAGTTCGAAGCCGCCTTTGGCTAGTTTTGCTCATATACTTCTCATGAGAGCCATCCAAATTGTTGCATGTGCCAAATAGGTCCCTTTTATTTCTGAGTAGTATTTGTGATATGGATGTGCCAACAATTAACCATTCATTCATCCATTAAGTTCTTTTGGGCTGTTTCCTCTTTTTTTGACTACTGTGAATAAAACTGGTAGGAACATTTGTGTGTATGGATTTTTACATGAATGTAAGTTTTCATTTCTTTGGAATACTAAGTGCATGTTTTGTTTTATAAGAAACTGAAACACTTTTCCAGGATGACTCAACCATCTTACATCTCCCACCAGCAATGTATGGTTGATCCCGTTTCCACATTCTTGACATCGTTTGGTCTTACTGGTATTTTTACTTTAACTATTCTAATAGATTTTAATGATAGCTCATTGTGCCTTTATTTTTCATTTCCCTAATGGCCAATGAGATGCTTATTTGCTGTCTTTAGTGAAATGTCTTTTCGTGTCCTTTGCCCTTTTCTTAACTGAATGGCTTATTTTTTTTAACCTTGAGTTTTGTGAGTTCTTTAATTTATATTGTAGATGTAAGTCCTTTGTCAGATAAATGATTTCCAAATTCTATCCCCCTCTCAGTAGCTTGTCATTCCATTCTCTTAAGGTCTTGCAAAGCAAAGATTTCTCGATTGGTGAGGTTCCAGTTTGTATTTTTCTTAATATCAAGGAAAACTTTTTTCCCCCTCCATCCTGTCTTTCATTTGTAGGTAGGAGGAGCAAACAAAATATAAACTACAGCAGTAGTTGTAGGGAGCTTGAAGCTCAGTCCACCTGCTTTGTTTTCTGCCTCATAACCAGTGAAGCACTTGAACTGATGTGTTGTGTCCATGGAACACTTTTTTTTTTAATATTTGTTTTATTCATGCATACAAGAACCTGGGTACAGGCCGGATGAGCAGGTAGCGTGAGAGGATTCACCAGAGACAGAGTGGGGAACAACAGGCAGACTGATCGAAACTCAATGCTGAGGGGAGCAGTGGGCAAGACAGGAGAGGTCTGCCACGCCATGTGGGTATCTTGCGGGTCGGCCAGGTTCGAACCTGCACTGAAGAAGCTGCAGAGAGCTCCACAGCGCTGCGTTCAACAACTTGCGCCACAAGGGAGGCCCTGTGGAACACATTTTTTAAAACTACTGGATTATTGTTTTATAGTAGGAGATAATCTTTTAACAAACTTATGAGAAAGTTCATTTGTCATTTACATTATATATAGTTAAGTGAGAGATTGAGGAAATTTTCAAGTTTTATTTCATGATGAGAGATTTGTAATCTTGGTATCACCCACCTCTGGAATGCTGCAGGTTTTTCAGGTTCTGTATACTTATTTTCACCCACCATGAACAAGTAGTGCAAGGAAGGGAGAAGTGTGGTTGCAGGTTGATAATGTTATCTGCAAAAGATTTATAGAGCAGTGGTGATGATAATGAAAATATGATAGTGATAATAATGAATGGTAGGTTAGGACTACTGCTTGAAGAATGTTCTCACCTCTGCACTGGCCTTTGGTGACCTAATCAATTTTGCCAAAAATTAATCGTGTGTTGATAGTGTCATATTTTTATCAAGCAGCCACAAAGACCAAAGATGTGAGCAGGTATTAGGAAATTTCTTACATGGCAGTTTAGGTGTATTTGGACAGACTGTCTTAATACTAGCTATATTTGCATTCTAAATAACTTCATCATAATGTTATCAAATTTCATTTGGACTCAGATACCTCATGATTTGCTTATCTCCCTGTTGTTTATTTACTAGTTTAAAATGCAAAGGATAAATCCTCAGCTCTGTACCCAGATACCTAGAACATTATCAGTCAACTCCTTTGTCCATATGAAACTTTCCACTTGGTTCTGTCACTCAGAACTATTGGGCTGTGGGAGAAGTAATGACACATTTTTGCATAGAAAACAGAAAAGATATGACTTTTCCTAGAGCCCAATATTTACAACTATTTACAATCTGGATATTGTTTTAGTCAAATGCATTGTATGGCACTATGGCTGCTCTTAGATATATGGTCAGCAAAAAAATTACCTTTCAAGGCTCTAAAAATGGCCTACAGTTGAACTGCTTATTGCCTTGATTTTGGCTATGTTACCTTTTAATTTTTTTTTAAAGATTTATTTATTTATGCATATAAGAACTGGGGTACAGGCCAGAGGTGCGGGAGGTGATTCACCAGAGACAGAGTGGGGAACAGAACAGGCAGATAGACTGAAGTACACTGCTGGGGAAGCAGTGGGTGAGTCAGGGGAGATCTGCTGTGCCATGTGGGTAGCTCCCTGGCTGGGGATTGAACTCATGCTGCAGAGGCTCCGGACAGCTTCACAGCGCTGTGCTTAACCCCTTGCGCTATCAGGGAGGCCCTGTTACCTTTTAATTTTCTACTGAATTTTTATATCTGTGACAGCATGAAATGTGACTTATAAGTCATTTTCATGTGGCAAATATTTACTCAGTTAATAATATATGAAAAAACTAGTTGGCACTGAAGGGGTTACATAATGAAAGTTTGGTTTTCCAGAATTTGATCTGGCAGTTTTATGCACATTACAGTGTTTTTGTTTTGTTTTTGTTTTTTTTCCTCAAGAAGCCAAACAGCTTTCTTTAAAGTTAGTGCATTTATGTTTTTGCCTTGATAATTCCCCAAAGGTTGGACTTCATTTGTGTCAGGGGGAAAGGCTGTCCTGAGCTAATTCCATGCAGGCTTTGGGGACTCCACCCGCACTCCAGACCAAAGCCATCAGGACATTGGGAAAGACAAATCCCGTCACCACCAAAGGGAAGGTGGCTGGGACCTGAGGGTGGAGTTAAGCAGCCAGGGTTGGTATAAAAAACCAAACACGTGGGCCTTGGGGGGGCTCGCTATCGCTCGCCTCCTGGCTTCAAGGCTCCTGGCTCGCGGCCCCCTCTCAGAGTGCCATTTGGGATTCCAGATTGGCAGATTGGGTAGGACACATTTAAAACTTTGTCTCCCATTTTTCTCCCTGAGCTGTACATTTCCTCATTTGCCCTTCCTTGTAAATAAACATTTTATTAACCTTTCGCGTGTGCCTGCAGTAGAGCATTGATAAGTCCTTTTAAGTGCGCGGGTGAGGACCCATAGTCAGGCACCCCGTTTTGTATCAGGGCTGCCCTATAACATTTGGAAGGCTGTTTTTATAGATACTCTTCTGAGGTCTTGTTTAAACACACACACTTTCATATAGATCACAACATGTTACCAAATTTTATTTGGACTCAGATACCTCATGATTTGCTTATCTCCCTGTTGTTTATTTACTAGTTTAAAATGCAAAGGATAAATCCTCAGCTCTGTACCCAGATACCTAGAACATTATCAGTCAACTCCTTTTGTCCATATGAAACTTTCCACTTGGTTCTGTCACTCAGAACTATTGGGCTGTCCTAATAAAATGTCTTAATAAATAAATAAACAAACAAATAAATAAATAGAATGTCCTATAAAAGTCTGGACCTTTATAACTGGTATCCTACACCTACTGCTTGGGTGTAGGGTACACAAAAATCTGAGTGCTTAAGAACAGATACTTTGAAAGGAGTAAGTTTTCAGATTCATGCTTTCCTTTTGTTCTTTTACTAGAATTCCTCTGCCCTAGGATATTACAAATAAATTTCCCCCCCAAAGATATGTTTATTTATGCATACAAGAACTGGGGTATAGGCCAGAGGTGTGGGGGGTGAGATGATTCACCAGAGACAGAGTGGGGAACAGAACAGGTGGATCTACTGAAGTACACTGCTGAGGGGAGCAGTGGGCGAGGCAGGAGAGGTCTGCTGTGCCATGTGGGCCACTTCCCTGACTGGGGATCAAACAGGGATGCAGTGGCGTGCTGCAGTAGCTGCAGATAGCTTCATGGTGCTGCATCTTGACCCCTTGCGCTACCAGGGAGGCCCCTACAGATAAATTCTTTGTCCAACATTCAAGTTTGCGTTTCAGATATATCTCGAGCTTCTCTGTCATTGTTAATCCTTAAAAGAGGAACTTCTACCAGTGTTTTAAGAAGTCTTAAGTTTGTATGAATATTTTTTTTAATAGTGAAATATATGTGTGCATTATAGAAAAATGGGCAAAATGTGTATGGTAAAAGTTTTGTAAAGGAAAGACTTGTGTGTGTGTAACTACACTCCAAGTAATAGAACATTGAGCCCCAAGTGCTGCTTCTACTGTCTGACTTTTCATTTTAACCCTTTTAGCTCCTTGCTTGGAACTTCTGTACAGGTTCCCATGGAGGTCGGTGCTTAAGTTTCTTCTCCAAGAAACTGATTTTCTGTGTATGCCTGTAGGTCCCTCCAATTTTGGAAAGAGGTTGCCCTATCGCCTTAATTTATTTATCAGATGAAGTGACAACTTCCAGCTTCTTACATGCTGGAAAGGAAATCTGAAACCTTTGTTGAACCTTTAGTAAATTAGTACTAGCTGTCCATAAATTCTGGGACGTAGGGATTATTTGTTCTTTGCATAGTGAAACTGTCTCTCAGGATGTTATCTTTGACTCGACTTTATGAATGCTCAGAATACTAGTGTGTTACAGTTACTATCTTACATACAAGATGAATGTCTTAGGAAATATAAGCTATATACACACCTTCTAATGACTTTTTAGAATTTATTAAACTAAATTTTATAATTGTAAAACAAACCCGACTCACCATGCTCTTAAGACAACCCAGAAAACTTTAGGTTGAAAAAGCAGGCGAAGGTATTTCAAGGTGCACTCCCCCTGTATGGTAAATGCCTCTCAACCCTCCTTCACCCCCATATTTCTTTGCAGCACAAGAAAATTGGAAATTACTAGTTGAAAATGGTGTAACTGCAAATTTAATTGACATAGTTTTGTGGCGTTTTTTAAAAAATTATTCAAAGTGAAAAAAGACCTCATGCTATTGGAGAGTCTTTGATAGTTTTATGTTTTTAATAACCGTAGAGCTATAAGAGGACATTGAAACATTTTAGATTCTTTTGTCTTAATTCTTCTCAAGGTTTCTACAAGTTGTTGACTTAGCTAAGTTATCATATATTAAATTATAACAGTCTCACAAGAGTATTTTTTGCTAGTTTATGTAGCAAAAATGCCTACTCTGCATTCTACCTCACATCTTAATATGTCTGAGTATGTCTAATGATATAGGAAAAGGAAAATTTTTTTTCACCTGGACCTTATAGCTTGACAAAAAAACTGCTGATGTATTGTTGAGGCTCTGGAATCTTCACAGTGGGCAGAAAGGCCATGTATGCTATTGTGTACTCTTGATTCTTCTGTGTTGGAAGTTTGTGATCAGTTTTTGTTTAATTAAAGAAGAAATATACTTTTAAAAAAAAAAACCTTTATTCATTGCATTAATTACCATTCAATACTAGTTTTTTTTTTAAAAGACTTTTTTTTTTAAAGATTTATTTTTATTTATTTATACAAGCACTGGGTACAGTCAGAAGCATGGGAGGGTGAGAGAATTCACCAGAGCCAGAGCGGGGAGCAGAGCAGGCAGAAGGACCGAAGTACACTGCTGAGGGGAGCAGCGGGTGGCAGGAGAGGTCTGCGCACCATGTGGGACCCTCCTCTGGTGGCCGGGGAGCAGCCGGGGATCGAACCTGCGCTGCAGAGGCTGTGGGCAGCTTCGCAACCCAGAGCTCAACCGCTGCGCCACGGGGAGGCCCTCAATGCTAGTTTTTAACGCTTTTACCAACAACATAGATTCTGTTCTTACTTGTAAGATGATCATTTATATAAAATAATACATTATGCATTAGGTTATTTTCTGTCTTTGGGAAAAATAAAATGCCAGCATGTCAGTTAATAATTATTATTCACTTAATTATGCTTGTAGCATTGGAGAACGTCTACTTTTTAACAAAGTGATTTCCTGCTTATAACTACATTTTAATTTTTTTCATTCATGAGATATTTATTAAAATAACACTTTCAGGGAAAAAAATCAATACAATGTATATATCTTTACTGAAAAATGTATACCATTATACAAAAAAGGATTTTATTTTGGAAAATGATTCCTAATTTATGTCGTTTTACTCTCAGAAATAAAACCGCAAAACAACACAATCTAATTCAATCTTAAAGGATGGCATGCTGCACAAGGAATGTTCTTATTCTTTATAGAAGTTTCTTCTTTACACTGTTAGGTACCAGGCTTTGCCTTTTGGTGTCATTTCAGCCACCAAGTCATCAACAGTAACATGTTCTAGTCCTTTTTCTTTACTTAACCTCTTAACAGTGTGCTTTCAATTCATCTTTCCAGCCACATTCAATTAATTTAGCTCTCAGCAACTCTTTGAGGCGTTCTCTTTTTCCAGTTTCTATCAACTTTTGGTTAATCACTGCTCTCATCCGCACATCTTTGTTCATCCTGCTAACTAACCACTATCACTGCGGGCGAGGGCCATCCCTTCCCAGTGATGAAATGACGAAATGACCCTTGAGTTACCTACCGTTACCTACTACACTCTTCGGCTGCCCAGACTCTTAACTACATTTTAAAAGCTTTCTGTTCTTCACTGATGTGTATTTGTAATGAATTATAATATTATCACACAATAAGATGTAATATTTGTAGTATTTGTGTTATCCACTTGCCAGGTGGATATTTTATGAAGGGTAATACAAGGAAAACCTTGGACAGACACATGAGCTAAAGAGACAACTATGTTATATTATTTTTGGAGCATGAAAGAAAACTAATTCAGACTTACAAAAGTAGTGATTTTCATCAGAGTAAACATTTTTTGAACATTTAGGTAGGTTAAATTTTTTAAAAAATTTATTTATTTATGCATACAAGAACTGGGGTACAGTCAGAGGTGTGGGCGGTGAGTGGATTCACCAGAGACAACATGGGGAGCAGAACAGGCAGATCCACCGAAATACACTGCTGAGGGGAGCAGCAGGTGAGGCAGGAGAGGTCTGCTGCGCCGTGTGGGTAGCTCCCTAGCTGGCCGGGTATTGAACTCATGCTGCAGAGGCTGCGGATAGCTTCATAGGTTGTGTCTTAGCCCCTTGCACCATCAGGGAGGCCCCCTAGGTAGGTTAAATTTGAAACTTTAATGTCCAGACACCCAAATTACTTCCTTTTATGAAATATTTCAGACACATAACAAACAGGATCTTACATTAGATAACTTGTGAATTGGTGCTAAAGATTTGTTTTCTAGACTTAGGATGTTAAGAAGGGTTTTTAAGAGGACTTGAAGGAACTGAGGACTCATCTTGCTTTTTTATAAAATGAAATTATCTCTGGTGAAAATCCCGTTTAGACATACATGTGTGTGATGTTGAGATGAGGTGTATTGAGGGTCCTTTTCTCCCGGTTACTCAGGTTTCCAAGAAAAGCCATTCAAGAATGCAGTATTTCTTTAATCCCATGTATGAATGACAGCATATTACATGAAATATTTACCTAATATTACCCAAAAGTTGTACATTTTTTGGTGTCCATATTCCATTTTAATCAGCATGTTTGGGAAGTAGGTTTTTGTGGGTTTCTGGATATGGAGAGAGTAGTAGTAAACTTAACTAAAAAAAAAAAAAAAAAAAAAAAAAGATTTATTTATTTATTTACACAAGCATTTCAGAAGCGCGGGACGGTGAGAGAATTCACCAGAGCCAGAGCAGGCAGAAGGACCGAAGTACACTGCTGAGGGGAGCAGCGGGCGGCAGGAGAGGTCTGCGTGCCATGTGGGACCCTCCTCCGGTGGCCGGGGAGCAGCTGGGGATCAAACTGGCGCTGCAGAGGCTGCGGGCAGCTTCACAACCCAGCGCTCAACCGCTGCGCCACCGGGGAGGCCCAGTAAACTTACTTTTTATTTGTGCTCACCTAAATACACAAGACTAGAAAAACTTGTGGCAAGAAAGTAGGAGATTAAAGTTCCTCAAATTGGGTATGAGATTAAAAAGGTTGGTAAACTGACCAATTTTTTTGGAATAGGTTCCTAACACTGTTAGTGGTAGTATTTTATCTTTTATATAAATGTGATACTTGATTTTAGTAAGTGATGAAAGTTTTGGGTTCTGTGTATTTAGACTGTTACAATCTGCTCTTTGGTGTTTGTTTCTGCGCTGCTACAGAGACTTCTTGTTGGGTGTTTCAGATAAATGCACATTGTCCCTGCTTTTTTCTGAAGCTCTTTCCTGAATGTACTCCTTTCCATGTGGCTTTTCCAAACTATTAAATCATTTTTTAAATTGTAACAGTACCTCATGTGCTTCATTTGTTGCTTAAGCCAGTTATGCAGTACTTTTAGGGAATTTGGAAGACATTTGAACTTAGTGTGTGCAGTAGCCAGTGTAGATACTTCAAATGCTGTGCCGAGATACAGTGTGGAATAGTTAATACCTAATTGTTTATTACCGCCACAAGGGCAGTGTCTCGTATTTATATGTGATTTGTGATCAATTTTATCAAGAATTAACCTTCTCATTTTCTTCCTTCCCTCCTTTTCTTTTTTCATCAGTGTAAACCAGAATACAAGGTACCTGGACTTTATGTTATTGACTCCATTGTACGACAATCTCGACATCAGTTTGGTCAAGAAAAGGATGTTTTTGCACCTAGGTTTAGTAATAACATCATTAGCACTTTCCAGAATTTATATCGTTGCCCTGGGGATGACAAGGTATGTTGATATTCCCCCCCCCCTTAAATAAATACATTATCCCTTTGGTCCTATTGTCATTCTTTAGATGATTTTACTTTGTGATTTATGTTGCTGTTTACTTTTAGTTATTTTGTACTTCAGTATGTAGTTACTATATTGTCCATGTTCCACTTTGATCCTTAAACAGAGTAGCATCTTAAACAGTGTAGATACAGTTGCTTCTTATGCTACTTTTGAATTTATTGAAGCAGTTGATCTTAGCTGCCTACAATAAGATTTTAGAATTATAGTAGAAGCTTATTTATTTACAAACACAGCCAATTCTGAATTGTAGTTATTTGTCTTGACCTTCCATTTACTTATTCAGTGTTTGTGAAAATGAATTTGTCAAGGAATTAATAGGAGACGCCTAACTGCATATCAGATTTCTTCTGTCATGGTTGAGTTATTAGTGCTAGAAGCCACACTATGAGGACTGTTAGATCTGAATTCTGTACCATGTAAAAACTTGGACACTAAGGGGGAATTAAAGAGGGATGTTTATCCTTATAAGTGCTGTGAGCCATTAAGTTACTTCTTTTGTATGCTGACTTGGCAATTTAGGTGTGGTTTTCTGGCAGGGCTATTTGCAGTAGAAGAAGAAGAAATGTAGAATGGTTGCTTTAAAAAAATACAAATCTTTCAAGACCACAAGTCTTTTACCTTAGCTCAAATACAAGATTAGGTAGCTTTATATTTAATAACTTTTAAAGACTTGAATCAGAGAAAAATCCTTGTTATAATGGATAGATATGGGGATAAATTTATTATATTCTTTGTAAATTATTTTTGGATGTATTTCTTGAGCCAAAGTATGTATGTGTGTATTTGGACATGTATGTGAATATGCATTGTACTTGCATGTGTGTGCATACATTGTATGTACGTGCATGGACATGTGTGGGTATACATTGTATGTGCGTATGTGTTGACATGTATGTGTATGTACATTGTGTTGCGTGCATGGGCATGTGTGTGTGTGTGTGTGTGTGGATATACATTGGTTTGAGTGCAGAATATGACCCGGGGGAGCAGGTTCATACCTCATATGTGCTTCACCACACTGCACCCACCACTAGGGCACTTGTGTCCTTTTATCAAAATTGCTTTGGTACTTTTGTTGCAGAAATAAATTCTAGCCTTTTACCCAGACAGGGGAAGAACAAGTGGTACTTTAGGAATGGTGAGGTCAGGAAAGCTTTATTACTCATGCATGAGGCCTCAGACCCAGGTAGTCCCATAAGGTCTGAGCACTGGTCAAGAGACAAAGAGTTTCTTTTATACACAACCACTTTACATTGATAAAGTTGGTTAGTTAGCATACAAATTCTTGACACAGGAAAAGGGGAAGGATACAGATCTTCCAGGATGGCCTGGGAGATCAGTCAGCCTAGCAGGCTGCCAGACCTTGTTTAGATATGCTTATTAAGGAAGCAAACTTATTTACTTTACATTTCCAGGTCTATGACTCTTTAACAGGGAAAGATTTCTTTTTCTTAGCAGTTCCCTTTCACTTTGATAATTCTGTGCGGGCAAAAAGCATGCTTCTAATTTTAAGTTACCTAGCATATTGATTCCTAAAATAGATACTAAATAGTCACTCAAATAATTAATTTGAAATTTTATGAAAGCATTTTTTTGAAGTAGCTTACTCACTAGTTTGGGCTTGGATATCTATCAGTTACAATGAACAAATCAGTCTTGAATTTGTATAGTTCATACTAATACTTCACATTAGTAACAATTTAGGATATAGGACACCCCCCCACCCCCATAATAGGAAAGATTAGGTAGGTAGATAATAAAACGATACTAGTTAGATGCTGGCAATTTTGAAGCAATTTGATGAGAGCCTTGGAAACCAGAAGGTTTTTACATAAAGAAGAAATACAGGGGCCTCCCTCATGGCTCAGGGGTTAGTCTCAGTGCTGTCACCATCACGGCCTGAGTTCAATCCTTGGCCAGGGAGCCAACCCACACACTCCCGCTGTATCCCTCAGCAGTGTGTTTCAGTAGACCTGCTGCTCCCCTCAGCAGTGTGTTTCAGCAGATCACCTGTTCTGTTCTCCCAGAGAACAATGTCTCTGGTGAATCCTTTCACTCCCCCGCACCCTGGCCTACACCTCAGTTTTTATATGCATAAATCAATAAAAATCTAAAAAAAAAAAAGAAAGAAATGCAAGGTACTGTTATAGAGCAACCCCGATATTAACTGGGTTCCTGGCTGTGGGTCCTCACCCGCGCGCTTTAAAGGGACTTATGAATACTCTACTACAGACACACACAAAAGGGTTAATAAAAGGTTTATTTACAAGAGAAAAGGAAATAAGGAAAATGTACAACTCAGGGAGAAAATAGGGAAATAAAGTCTTTAATGCGTCCTACCCGATCCTCCAAAGTCACTCTCAGAGCTGGCCGGACGCTTCAAGCTGGTGGAGAGCCAAAATGGGGGATCCCCAAAGCCCACGTGTCTGCCTTTTGTATCCACCTGGCTGCTTAACCCCACCCTCAGGTCCCAGCCACCTTCCCTTTGGTGGTGATGGGATTTGGAGTTCCCAGTGTCTTTGGCTTTGACCTGGGGTGGGGGTGGAGTCCACAAAGCCTGTATGGAATTTGCTTTGGGACATCCTTTTCCCCCTAACAGTACCACCTAAGTGCCCAAATCTTAGAAAGGAGAAATAGTCAAGTCAGAAAGTATGAAGTTGTCTTTGTGTGACTTTCTGAGGCTTTATTTGGAATACACAATTTTTCAGTGTGGTTTGGACATAGTTTCAAATCAGTCTCTCTCCCTGCCTCTGTCATTTAAATTATTGTCCTAATGGATGAGTAGCATTACAATACTGCTGTTTACATAAATTTCATGTGCTGAACAGATGTATATCAAATCATTCAGTGACTTTATCAGGAAAATCATTTTTGAATAATTATGCTTTTGCCAGGAGAGTAGCACTTTAAGATGCTGTTGAAATAGGATGGGGGTGGGAGGGGTGGGCAACAGTTGAGAACAGTACATGGAATGTGATGCTGCAGTTACTGAAAGGGCTTATCAGAAGGGGAATGACTAGTAGTTCAGAGATGTGAAGTTCCCTTGCCTAGGAGGCTTGTTTTGTTTTTTTCTTTACAGAATGGTAAAGGAGTTGGATTATTGTGAGAAATGAAATGATCTGGAGCATTACTGATTTAGAGCACGTTTATCATTCTGAAAGTCAGGCTAAATAATGCTCTTACCACATTGACATTCTACAGAAGGAAAAGCGAGTAGGAAAAAAATTAAAATAGACACTGGAGAGTTAAGAAAGGGATAGAATTCTGATTCTATCCATACAGAAGTCTGTTCATCTCTCATTTAAAGTATCAGTAAGGAATTAGCATAGATGGCAAGATGATTAGAACAAAAGTAAATTTGGTTAAATTTTCAGGTGGTAAATACCCTCTCCTGGTTATCAAGAATTTAAAATCAAATTTAGAAAAACTCACATAAGGAATTTGTCTTGAAGTCACTTATTTGATTAAAATGTAAAATCAAGTGTATTTTAAGAGCTGGCCCAACTTTGCCTCAGAGTCTTTAACTCATTTCTGTTTTTTTTTTTTAAAAATATTTATTTATGCATACAAGAGCTGGGTACAGACCAGAGATGCAGGAGGAGAGAGGATCCATCAGAGACAGAGTGGGGAACAGAACAGGCAGGCTGACTGAAATACACTGCTGAGGGGAGCAGTGGGGAGACAGGAGAGGTCTGCCTCGCCATGTGGGTTGCTCCCTGGCGGGCCGGGGATCGAACTCGTGCTGCAGAGGCTGCCATTGCTTCATAGTGCAGTGCTTAACCCCTTGTGCCACCAAGGAGGCTCCTGCACTCATTTCTGCCAGTTGTAACCATGGGTCTCAGCAGACTTCACGTAGAAACTAGAGGTCACATAGAAACTAGAGAGCCAGTTGCCATTTCTGATTGACTTCTGCTGAAAGTAGCGTTCATTTACCTTGTGTGTCTATCGAAATGGATGTTTTTTACAGTGAGGGAAGGCTCGTGGATGCAGGATGATGTCGCATAGTGGGAGATGTGTACCATGAAACATTCCAGTCCATTCTCCCATCCACTGCCAAAAGAGCCTTTGTGAACTATTTTAAGGTTTTGAAAGCAAAAATGCAAAATATAAAAATGTCGTTTTTTCCTTATTTCCCTAGAGTAAAATAGTGAGAGTATTAAACTTATGGCAAAAGAACAATGTCTTTAAGAGTGAAATCATTCAGCCTCTCTTGGACATGGCCGCAGGGATTCCTCCGCCAGTTGTCACTCCTGTTTTGGCCAGTACAACCGCTGCTATGAGCAACACCCCAGGTATGCTGCTTTGGCGGAGATTTGTTTTTAAATATTCTACTCTTAGGTGATTATTTATATATACAATAATAATGGGAGTGGTACAGGAGAATTTGTCTCACATTAGGTAATGAAAGAAAATGTCTCAGAAATTATCTAAAACTAGAAAACTGTTTTTAAATCCCTGGAAACAATTGCAGTGAACTTTAGGAAACTGGTGTGTCATTTAGTTTTTTCTTAATTGGGCAGTCTGTAATGTTTTACACTTGCATATAAATCAGCTTGATACTCACAGTGTGCTAGGGAAATTAATTACAGTGTACCCTAAAAATGAGTTAGTGGAGGAAATTTTGAATACTTTAGTAATTTCAAAATCATGGTTTTGAGGTATTTAAATGGCATTTAAATATTTTTACTATATTTCAGAAAATTACATTTGTTAATATTTTGGTAAATAGTTTTGTATGTATCTGAAGATACACATTTTTGAGCAGCAGTAGTTTTATATATGCTATTTTATAATATTTTCATTAAAAATTATATTTTCAGTGTTTTCTATGTCATTTAGTTTTTCTCCCATGGTTGAGATTTTTAGTAACTGCTAGTATTGGATGTGCCATTAAACTAGTAGCTTAGTTAACTGAGGACAGGTATGGACAGATCTTTTCAATATTTTTTCTTTTTTTTAGCCTACCTTAGCAGGGGCTTTTCAAAATGAAGGCAGTAAAATAAAAACATTTATATACACTTACGTGATTTGTAACTGTGATAGCAGATTTCTCTTTCTAATTTATTTTTTGGGGTGGTCGTGATGTCTTTTTCAAAAGGAACTCCTGTGACACCTGTTACGCCAGCCAATGTGGTTCAAGGTTTACCCGATCCGTGGGTATCACAGATAACAAATACAGATACACTTGCAGCCGTAGCTCAGATCTTACAAAGTCCACAAGGCCAACAGGTGAGCAGCTTTATTGTTATGTTGACTGTGATTTATAATTCATTTTTTTTCTGAAGAGTTGTTTCATGTTTCACCTAAGGAGTATGTGTTTTTTATTAATATTTCATAAAAGTGGAATCACACTCTGGATGGTGTTCTGTCACTTGCTTTTTTTATTTAGTAAAGCATCATGAACATGTATATGTCATTAAAGATGTAGCGCATAGTTTGTGTTAAACATTGTTAGGTGCTATTGTTACTCTAGTAACAAGGCAGGGAGGTGTTCTGTGTTGAAGAAAGACAGTTTTCTTTCTTAGGGAAGACAGTAAAAAAGAAAAAAGAATAATAGTCCCTTAGGTGCAAACAAAACATGACTTAAGGTAAATTTAGAGTGCCTAGTTTGGGGAAAGACACCAGAATTAGTGAGGGGAGCCAAGAGAAGGTGTCTCTGGCATTTGACTTGAACAGAAGGAGTCATGGCAGGATTTGAAGACAGGAGTAAGTTTTAAGTTTAGCTAGAAGTCCAGAGGTTTGGGAAATAGCATGTTTGGTGTAGACATGCAAGGACGGCTTTTGTTAGTGGGACATTCGAAGTAGAGGGGACTCACACTACATGTGTGAATTAATTCCAGGAATAGGAAAGATTGATGTGTTTAAGAATATTGAGGTATTCCACTAATACTTCTATATATTTTTCATGTTCAAGTCCTTTTACTACTCTTAGTTAAGGTTTATAGCTTCACTTTTCTTTGTAGGTCCTTCCCTTCTCTTTGATTTATTTCTAAGAATAAATTTGAATGGATTTGATTTTTTGGTAACCAGTCTCAGTCTCATACTCAATTTCCAACGGATTCTCTTTCATTTTCTAATTAAAACCAATTGTAATTAAAACATAATCATAATTCTCTGTTTTCATTAAATTTTTTAACATGCATATTTTTCTTACTGCATCTCATTCAGAATGAGATTTTATTTTAACAAGAGCACTCTTTTTTAAAGACTCAATAGAATTATCTCTTTAGTGTTGATTTTGTCTTGAGATATCATATTCTTTATTAGGGACATATTCTGCTTATCCTAGATGATAATGTTTTTAAAACTTTATCAATGGAGATAGTAGTTTGGTTTTTCTTCTTTAGTTAGCAGATCTGATGAGAACTATATTACTAGAATTTCTCAATGATTCAGCATTGCAATCCTATATACCCCAACAAACACAAACTATGACATTCCTTTTTGCATTTAACAGTTTTTAACTTTTGTTTTACTTTGTAAGCTCTTTTGCAATAATTTTCAACTACCTTGAAGTGAGAGATGGGTTCCTAATTTTTATCATCTATTCTGAGTTTTAAAATCAGGGCTACTTGTTCCTTCATCAGGCCCAAATAAGCATTTACCTTTCTCTGCATTCTGTGTAAGATAACATGGCTTCTTTCTGCCCCAGAAGGTTTGTGTGTGCTTACTCAGAAAACTGCCAGGGTTTGGTGTGTTGGGGGATTGTGTTTTGATCCTTTTTCAGTTTCTTCTTTGGTTATTGTTAAAATATTTACTTACTTTGTCTTCCTAGACTTCAATAATAGACTTTTGTTAGTATTTCATAGTTTTACATAATTTTTTTATAATAAGCTTCCTAACTTTGGTACACATCGATGACTATATATTGTACTTTCTTGCTTTTTAAATTTGTGCTTACTGGAGTTTTTGGTTTTATATTCCGTTACCACCTTAGTTCACCTTTAGTTTTGGAATGTCTTAAGTGGCATTTGTTCTTTTTGCATCTTCTCTTTTTGATCCATCATTTTGTTCTTCTGCAAAAGCAATCTTTAAAAATGGTCTTAGGTATCTTAAACATATACTTAGGAGCATGCAGTGCATTGCATAGGATGAAACCCAACCTCGCTGTCTTGTCCTTTAAAATTATTTTCATTGTTACCTGTTAACCTTTTGCCAGAATATTCTACTTTTCCTAGATGATAGTATCTTTTAAAAAAAAAAAAAGATTTATTTATTTATGCATACAAGAGCTGGGGTTCAGACCAGAGATTGCGGGGGGGGGGGGTGTGTGTGAGAGGATTCACTAGAGACAGAGTGGGGAACAGAATAGGCAGACTGACCTAAGTACTCTGCTGTGGTAAGCAGCGGGTGACACGGGAGAGCTCTGCTACGCCATGTGGGTTGCTTCCAGCCAGGGGATCGAACTCGTGCTGCTGAGGTTGAGGACAGCTTTATAGGTTGCATCTTAACCCCTTGCACCACCAGGGAGGGCTCTGAAGACCCTCTTTGCTCATATTACTTCCCTTTTACTATTTTCTTCTCTGCTTTTCTTAGGTTTTATTCTCCTTTCACCATTCTCATCAAATCATACTATTTTTTTTTTAAGATTTATTTTTTTATTTATGCATACAAGAACTGGGGTGTAGGTCAGAGTGCTAGTGAGAGGATTTACCAGAGACAGTGGGGAGCAGAACAGGCGGATCTACTGAAATATACTGCTGAGGGGAAAAGCAGGCAAGACAGGAGAGGTCTGTGTGGGGTTAGCTCCGTGGCCAGGGATTGAATTCAGGCCACAGTAGTGCTAGCGTGATAGAGACTTAGCTTCTATGCAACCAGGGAGGCCCCAAATTATACTTCTTAGGAGTTTGTTTTCTGATGTCCAGTGGGATTGTGTTACTTCACTGATGCTTGTTTTTTATTAATTCAACCTTTATTTAGTCAAACATTTTTGGGGACCTGCATTGTTGAGGCACTGTGCTTTGTGCTTAAATATGTGAGAGAAATATTTTCTGGCCTATGGAAGCCAAGGTAAAATTAAATGTATAAAAGTAATCTAAATTGAAAATTATTTAATAATGTAGTAATGAAATGACTCAGAATTCAGAATTAGAGCTAATGCATTTGCTACCTGTTTGATTGCAGTAGCCTCATCCTTGTGTTTCTACCTTTGCACTGCTACAGTCTCCTCCTAGTGCCCCTGGCAGTGTGACCCTTTGAAAGTGTATGATCATTTGACTTGAGCTCAGCATCCCTCAGTAACTCCCTTGAGTAGTCAAAAGAGGAAAAACCAAAGTCTAAACAGTCACATCACCAGGCCCTGTATGTTATGTTCTCTGCTTGATCCTTTGCTCCCTTGTGAGCATTTTCTATGACCCAGGGAGACACTGTCTCATGCTGCTCTTCTTTTATATTGTCATCTACTTCCCTTCATCATTCCTTTCCCCGTTGACTTATTCTGACCTGATCACTGTGGCCTTTTTGGCGTTGCTTAAATACTGTCTTGAAATCTTTATACTTGTTTTTTCTTACACGGAAAACTCTTTCCCTGTATTCATGTAGTTTCTTTCAACTTGCTTATTATGTCTTTATATAATGTCCCCTCAGTAAGGGCTCAGATAACCATTTAACACTGCAAACTCTCCTTTTTATCCTGTGCCCACTTTCTATCACCTGTCTTATTTCCTTCCTCAGCACTTTTCTGCTGACTGGATTATGTGTTCAACAAAGGCAAGGATTTGGGTTTTTTTCTCTATCTCACGGCTATATTTGCAGTAGGTTAGTGTAGATAGATGTTCAGCATATTTTTGTAGAATGAGTGAATAACATTCAGAAGCATGGAGGCATAACTATTTGGTATACCAAAGATATTTTAGAGTTGGATTGTGTGGAAGGTAGGATGGTCTGTACCTTCGTTTAATGACAAAATTGAAAGGGTATACCTAAGTGTGGGACTTGAGTTTCATCAGACATAAATGATAGGCTGGGAAATAAAGGGTTTACATACTGAGCAATGAGGGAATTGCCAGAGATTTTTATGTTGAAATCACATACCTGAGCAGAACTTCAACTGATAGAAGTCTAGAGAGAGGAGATATCTTTGTTTTGCTAACAAATATAATGAAGGGAAGTGATGAATATGTAAAAAAAAATATTAGGATTATGGATTCTGTAAAAAGACCACTGCCCAGAAAAAAAGGCCACGGGAGGGACATTCTAGCATTTAAGAAATGTAAAACATATTTTAAAAGGAACAGTTAAAATGTGTAAAGGAGAAAGAGGACATTATTCCCTCCTTCCTCACTTCCCCCTTTCTTTCCTTCAGTCCATCCTTGTTCTGCAACTTCCTGAATGTGGTTACTTCACTGTCACCTGTAAATAAATAGATAGACAGATAGATAGATTTTTTTTTTTAACTTAATCTCCAGGTGACTAGTTTGTTAATGTACTGGTTTAGATAGGCATGAAATATTTTGCTTACTGTGATATTACAAGGTGGTGTTTGTGTCTTATATTGAACTTCAAGAATGCAAATGTCTAGTTTAGCAATAGTTTTACTATTTTTATTTTTCTATTTCAAACTGAGTATTCAGATTTAATTCAGGTTTAGAAATATATCGATTACTTCTATGATGTATGTAGGACTTAACTATGAACTATCTTCAAGATCTTACTATTGTCTTAGTTTTTTTAAAGGGATGGGTAAATAGGAGGGAACAGGAATTTCTTTCAACTCTCAGTGACCCTGTTATAGGACAGGGAGAGGGGCAGCCCAAACCCCGCAAACATGCCTATTCTAAATGGGTTCTGCCATCCGCTGCATCAACACAAAACATAGGAGACTTTAATGGGAAGGAACTTTAATACAACTAGGAAACAATACAGGAAAGGCAAAGAGTCTAGTTTCTAAATGAAGCACCCAAAGTTACCCGTCCCCTCGTGGGTAAAAGTCCATCCACATGGGAATGGCCCAGAGCAAGGCCCCAAAGCCTGACACAAGTCTACAGCATCTTCCAGTGGGGACCCACAGAAAAGGGTCAGAAACAACCAGACAAGCCCGGAAGGAAAAGAGCAAAACCAACATCAAGATAAAAGCTGCCATTGTCACCTCCCCACAGGTCTCACGCACATCTGTGTCACCCATTCCACGACCAAAAGACAAGCGCAGTTTCTTCACGCGTCTCTAGGCTCCATGCGCCTCCTCCAGGTCTCCTGGCTCCATCCTGCTTCCTTCCTCAGTCTCTTCTGCAGCTTCTTTTCCTCTCTTCCTGCTCAGCTCCACCCTCTCTTGGGTGGGGCTGGGAACCTCCCCCTTTCCTGGGGACCACCCTGTTACAATCCCCCCTTTTAATTTTTATTCCACCATATCTATGGTGGCACAGATCTCCTGGTGTAATCTTAGGAGACAGTCTTTTTTCAGGGTTACAATGTGTGTAAGAGAAGCAACAATTAGCAGCATTGTCCATGAATGTCCAGTATGACAGTTTCATTACTTAAAAATAGTCCATTATCCAAGCCAAAAGAAAAAAATGTGGAGCATTGGCTAAAACAAGATAGCAAATATATCAAAATCACAGGGAAAAAATGTTAAAATGGTTCAACTTATGCAAAAATGAATTTTCTCAACCTTGATCCCAAACTTTTAACAGCATAGCAAAAGTTTGCAAACTAAATCTACTTTTAAACCATTTTTCCTATTTTTGCATAAAATCACAGGGCAGAAATAACTAACAGCAATTTTTAGCTGGCTTTGTTGAAATACTCCCTATAGGATCAGAGCGAACCATTGGCATCCGGTCGATGTAGGCTTCAGGTACAAAGTTGGTCTCATCAGACTCCACTTGGGCTTTCCTCTTCTCGAGGGTACCAGGGCATTTTCGTTGGCCGGGTTGTCCAGTCCTGCCAATGGAGGCAAGCTTCCTCACCTTCTTTGGAGGTCTCTGGAACCCTACAAACAAGGCAAACAGGTTCTCCTCTTCTTGGTTCAGCTCTTTTTCAACTTTTTGGAAGAACTCCACACAAAGCCACACAATCAAACTCACGTCCAATTTTTTGTTAAAACAGACAAAATCCCTATGTAAGTTATGCAAAAACAGACTCTAAGATAAGTAGCAAAATTACTACCACTATTTGTATGCCATGTTGGTATCAAGGGGAGAGAAAATGTGACAAGTTAGCTTTGCTGGAAAAAAAAATTGCAACCTTTCTGCAGATCCTGGTTACTCAAAACAAAACAAAACAAAACAAAAACTTCGTGGATTCAGGACAGAATGGCAAAAAAAAAATTTCCAGTATTATGTCAAAGAAACCTTAGTAAATGTCAGGTGTATTTCCAGGTCTATTCAGTCCTTTGTAGGAAAGTTTTTTTACTCTCAACAGTTCCAGCAATAGGAATCTGTTGAGACCTTTTCTCCCTATATTTCCAGAAACAATTTCTGTAGATATGAAACAATTGAATTATACAATATTACAAGGTGACAATCACCATTGACAATTTACATACATACCAAATACTGAGAGGATTTTTTTTTTTTTACACATTTAGAAAACTACTGTTAACATTTTGTACATACCAAAGTTTTACCATTTTCCCAAGTGACAATGCTTCCCTTCCAGTTTTACTCCATTAGGTAAAAGCCAAATAGAACAAATTCATCTAATGCCTTCCCAGGAGGAAAGGGAGAAACTTTGTGGAGTGTCTCAGTGTCTCAGATTTCCTTGTATAAGTCAAATGACAGGCTACCAAATTTGTACTTGAATTTAGATTTCTGGGAAGCTTTGCCATAAATATCAGAAAATTAACAGAAACAACAATATTCAATCTCTATGAAGGCACCGGCTTAGTTCACTAGCACAATGTTGACAATCAAACCATAACTTTTAGTTTTTCTCATAACTGGAGACTTTTTTTTTTTCCAAATTCTATGGGCACCATGTATACCAATTTGTCGATCACTGGAGGTCAAGACAGTTAGACACAAGGACATACAGACATACAACGTATAGACAAAGACAGTTTTTTTTTTTTTAAGTTATGCCACGTAGAATATGTTATGTAACTGCAGTTTTACTCCATAGGCTCAGAAAAAAAATGTCAAAGTCCAAAAAAAAAGTGGAGTGTTGCTGGCAGAAAAATTTCCAGTTGTCATCCTACAAACCTAAGACTTTGGAAATAGGAAGGAAAAGTTTTATTAATCACAAGAGTTACATGACCTTGTTTATCACCTTAGGGTTTTCAGTGTTGAAGATTTTTTATTAGAAGTCAATCCTGGGGTATTCTGTACAGCAACTGAAAGAATAAAAGTTAACTTTTAAGCAAAAGGAGTCATCTCTTGTTAGCCACCAAGCAGGCACACCTTGGGTTTCCTGGAATAGAACCTGAAAAAGCAAAATCAAAATATCAGTAATTAACTTTCAATTAAAAGGAGTCATATCTCCTTATGTTATAGGACAGGGAGAGGGGCAGCCTAAACCCTGCAAACCTGCCTATTCTAAATGGGTTCTGCCATCTGCCGCATCAACACAAAACATATGAGACTTTAATGGGAAGGAACTTTAATAAAACTAGGAAATAATACAGGTAAGGCAAAGAGTCTAGTTTCTAAATGAAGCACCCAAAGTTACCCGTCCCCTCGTGGGTAAAAGTCCATCCAAATGGGATTGGCCCAGAGCAAGGCCCCAAAGCCTGCCACAAGTCTACAGCATCTTCCAGTGGGGACCCACAGAAAAGGGCCAGAAACAACCAGACAAGCCCGGAAGGAAAAGAGCAAAACCAACTTCAAGATAAAAGCTTCCATTGTCACCTCCCCATGGGTCTCACCCACATCTGTGTCACCCCGTCTATTATAGGACAAGGAGAGGGGCAGACTTCCCCCTTTCCTGGGGACCACCCTGTTACACGTCCACGACCAAAAGACAAGCGCAGCTTCTTCACGTGTCTCTAGGCTCCATGCTCCTCCTCCAGGTCTCCAGGCTCCATCCTGCCTCCTTCCTCAGTCTCTTCTGCAGCTTCTCCTCTTCCTGCTCAGCTCCACCCTCCCTTGGGTGGGGCAGGGAACCTCCCCTTTTCCTGGGGACCACCCTGTTACACTTACTTCTGTTAGCCACTCTGGGACAGAAGCTGAAAGAGCAGATTCAACATCTAAGCATAGATTACACCTCCCCCACACTAGGGAGGGACAACAACAACACAGGTATGAAAACCTGGTACAGTTACATGATGCACCCTAAAGAGTGCTTTCCACAACAGACCTTCCTCAGTAGGAAGCAGAAACTTAGAATCTTGTCTTACACCAGCAATTGAACAAATCCAGTATTCAAAATGGCAAACATGCCCAAAACAAATTGTGTAGACAAAATTCACAGCAGCAAATCCTTTCAGACTCAGACAAAATCTTGTTAATTTTTCTGATCCAGACTTTGCAAAAATTCAAGTTATCTCCAAGAATCCATCAAGGCTGGGCCTCCCCGGTGGCACAGCGGTTGAGCGCTGGGTTGCGAAGCTGCCCGCGGCCTCTGCGGCGCCGGTTCGATCCCCGGCTGCTCCCCGGCCACCGGAGGAGGGTCCCACATGGCGAGCAGACCTCTCCTGCCGCCCGCTGCTCCCCTCAGCAGTGTACTTCGGTCCTTCTGCCTGCTCTGCTCCCCGCTCTGGCTCTGGTGAATTCTCTCACCCTCCCGTGCTTCTGACTGTACCCAGTGCATGTATAAACGAAAACAAACAAACAAATAAATAATAAATAAATAAAAAACATGCCTCTATAAAAAAAAAAAAAAAAAAGAATCCATCAAGGCTACCAGCAATTACCAGTTACTGCTTCAGGCTACTCTTTCCTTAACACCCAGGCATACATTTGCTAATTTAAACACCACTGCTCCACAATTGGCTTGCAAAATCCATCAGGCAGAGAGCAGGAAGTAGCCAAAGACAAAGCAACATACCACTGAAGAAACATTATTGCCTTTAGAAATGCTAATGAGACAGCAGAGATTACAAAATGAAAGAAAAAAAAAGTTCCAAAGTCCTAGCAACAAGAACCTCTGAATTTTACAAGAGCCAGCCAAGTGGCCTCAGACGCCATCTTTGATCTGCCCACATGGTCCAATGTACTGCCTAATCTTTTGAGTAAAACTGGCACAGAAAAATTTCCACAAATTAAAATCTCTTAGCAAGTCACTACAAACAAATTAGACACAGACACACAGAATCTTCACAAAGCCCAAGCCGGTTTTTCAACAGCAAATCGACATATGAAACAAACACACTGGAGAAACCAAAAATCACATTTGCGCTTATGGTAGCCAGTGCCATAGGGAAGCCCAATTTCCCCGTGGGGCTGACTAACCACGGATGGCTCTGTCCTAAATCTTCGTGGTCGCCAAATCTGTTAAAGGACAGGAGAGTGGCAGCCCAAACCCATTTAGAATAGGCAGGTTTGCGGAGTTTGGGCTGCCCCTCTCCCTGTCCTATAACAACCCTATCACTTAAGGAAACTAGTTTCCTTGGTTTCAGGTTCTGCTCTAAGAAATATATTTCACTGGTTTTCCTGCTTTCAGGAAACGTGTTAATCAGATGGCAAATTTGAAAGATGGCAGAAGCTGTTACCAGATATTGTCATTCCACAAATGATTGAAGACTTAGGACAGGATGAAAAGCTTAGTGAAAAAAATCAGTCTGCTTGTGATGAGTTCTTTATCCATTTATCATGACAGGACCATTTTATTTTGTTTAAAGTTCTCTAATTTTCCAGAAGGAAGAGAAATTTATTAAGGACTGTGTTATGTATGGAAAACACAAAAAAATCTTTACAGAACAGTTAACTCTTGTTTTGTGTTAGTGTGTGTATATTTATTTTTTCTTGATTTCCAAAGACTATAGAATGATTAATTTATTGACTAAGTTTTAGATGGGCATTTTTATGATAAAACCCAGGCTTGCTTGTAATAATTTTCTTTCTTCCCCCTCTAGCTTCAGCAGTTAATACAAACTCTACAGATACAACAGCAGAAGCCTCAACCTTCCATTCTGCAGGCCCTGGATGCCGGTCTTGTTGTCCAGTTGCAGGCTCTTACGGCACAGCTTACAGCTGCAGCTGCAGCAGCCAACACCCTTAATCCCTTAGAACAGGGAGTGTCTTTTAACAAGGTAGAAATTAAGATACCACATCTGTTCTATATGATGTATTAAATTTTGTATGCTATCATCTGGATTCTAGTTCAGGAAATTACATGTATTATAGAATTGTTTTAATATCCACTGTACTGTGTAAGGCATTATAAATTTTACAAAGTTCAAACTTTTTAAAGACGAAGAAATTTTATAATTCTTCTTGAACCATTTGGAATATTTTTGACTAAAGGTAACTGGTCAGTAAAATTTTGTATTCACCATTAAGGCATATGATTATTTTATGAATTCTCTAAGTTCCTTTATGGATATTACAAATATGTTAGTTATATGCTATAATTTTAACTCACTCTAATTATTATTGTTCAGTATGTCATAGTTCAAAGGAAAACAGTCATTTTAAATTATCAGTATACTTTAATATGTGATAAATTGAGGCCTAGCAGAAAAGGATAATGTTTTTAAAGTTGGATTTTTTCATGTGTAATTTACTGTGTGATAACCTCGTTTCTGTTAATTTTGGAAACATTGACAAACCTTGAAAGTGTTAGCCATATTATTTTATTTCTCATACTACTATTTTCATAGGAAAGTAATTATTGAAAGTATCAGGTTGTTACTTAGACTCTTTTAGCCATCATCTTCCAAGTCTAATTTAGTCTAAATAGAGCATATAAACTCCTTTAAGCTGAGCATGTAGAAGATTGAGCATTCCAAGAAGAGAACCTTATCAGAAATATATTTGTTGATTTTTGTCCTGACTGTTACTTATCCAACTACGTTATCATTGTCGAGTCACTAAATATTTTAATCCTAATTTTCTCTTCTATAAAATTAGAATGTTAGTGTTTACTACCCATGTGTTATGATTTGCTATGTAAGGTAATGCATTTCAAAGTGCTTGAAAGAAAAATCCACTTAAGTAAAATACTGTATTATACTCTAACATAAAAATGATATAAAAATGCACAAATTAAGTAAGAAATAAATTAATAGCATGTAATATGCCTTCAGAATAGTACTTGTAATTTATGTTTGTGTGAAGTGCTTTTTAATTTGTCTCTTTTTCCTCCCTTTCTCCCTCCCCTGCTTCCCAGAAGTTGATGGATAGATTTGATTTTGGGGAAGATTCTGAGCATAGTGAAGAACCCAAAAAAGAAATTCCAACTTCTCAGCTGTAAGAATTGTTATGTTTTTCTTTTTAACCATAGGGGGTTTTGTTACTTTTATGAACACTGGGTGGGATGTTGTCATTTGGATGATTAAGTATACTTTGAATAAGCTGGGTGTTGAGTTCTAAAATTACAGAAAGATGGTAAAATGGTATCTTCTCGCCTCCTCAGATTATTTTGGTTCTTTCTCAGATCTTTGCAAACAGTTGGGATATATCAAAATTTTTTGTAGGACAATGGATAAATGTTGACAAGTTTAATTATGATATTTTGATATTATAAGTTATTTCACTCAATTGTAAAAATAATTGAAATATTAGGAAAGAAGCTTGTTTCTACTGCTAGTGTAGAAATTGTAGAATATTTCCCCCACTAGCTCATAGAAAAGGAGTTAAAGTGATAATGTTTAAATACTTGTCACTGTTTTTGTAAGTTTTATTGAAAATTTTCTTAACGTGCTAATGTGAAAAGTTCTAATTGGTTTGCATTTGATAGCATGAAGCAGTAATATCAGATCGTCACCCAGGCTTCTCTAGCTGGTATCCATCTATTCACTTTTAAAGAGTATATTTTTACTTTTGTCTATTAATGTTCTGGAACATTCCATTTTTTATGTTACTGTTTCAAAAATAAACATTGTATAATGATTTTATGAAATTGGCTTTTTCTTTAGAGTATAGGCATTTTCATGGAATATTTGCTGGGTTTTAAAATATATTTCTATTTGTTTTTGTTTTAGTTCTCATGTTTCAGAATCTGTGAACAATTCCATTTTTCATCAGATAGCAGAACAACTACAGCAGCAAAACCTTGAACATCTCAGACAGCAGCTTTTGGAACAACAGCAGCCTCAAAAGGTTTATAACCCCATCTTGTGGTCTTCAGAGTTACTGCTTTCTATAACCTATAAATTGGTGTTTCTGTTAGCTTTGACTTTACAGAGTATTTTCTCATCTATTTAGTTTTTACTACCTACTTTATTTCCTTTTTTAAGTATGATGATTTTCTTCAACAGTGTAATACTAGGAAGATCAGTCTTTTCAGGACCTTCAGAGTGTTTTCTATAATCAGTGTGTTCTGACAACTTTGAATCCAGAGAGCATTGTAGAAATTTCAGTATATAGGAATTAGAGAAAACAGATGGTATTTCAGTATTATAACTTCAAATTTCATGTGCTTTCCAATTTCCTATCAAGTAGTAATGGTGATGGTAGTGTTACTGTTGATAGTGATGACAGAGTAGTTTGCTATCTTGAATTAGGCTATTACCACGTGGCTGGACTTTATTAGGCAGAATTACATTTAATGTTTATGAGATAGGCATTATGACGGCCATTATACACCAGAGGAAATTAAAGCTTGTAATGAAATTTAAGTATACAACTAATGTCATATAGTATCAGCCCTAAGATTCACACACTATTTATAGCTAAGAAGTTATAAACACTTCTGAAGCATAACATTCCCATTGAGAATTTATCATGGATGGTAAAGTGTGGAAAAATAATCACTTTAGAATTGATAAAATATATCAAATTGCAGAGCTAGGATTAAATTAATTGCAAAGCCTGTTTTTGCGTATATGAGAAATATTTATAGATGTAAGCTGTTCAGAAACAGTTTTAGTAAACTCCCCCCACTCACATTCTTCCTAATATTAAAAATTTTAGTGCTAATTAATTTAACCACATACTACACCTTTAAAAAAAAAAAAATTATTTATTTGTACAAGCGCCGGAGGGTGAGAGAATTCACCAGAGCCAGAACGGGGAACAGAACAGGCAGTCTGATGAGGTACACTGCTGAGGGGTGCAGCGGGTGGCAGGAGAGGTCTGCACGCCATGTGGGACCCTCACCCAGTGGCCGGGGATCGAACTGGTGCTACAGAGGCTGCGGGCAGCTTCACAAAGCAGCGCTCAACCGCTGTGCCACCAGGGAGGCCCCACATACTACATACACCTTTTAAAAGTATGAGCAAGGCATTGTTAGATAAATGATATATACCAAGATGAACAGTATAAGATCTAGCTTCAAATAGTCTCTTCTCTAAGGAAGCACTTAAATCTGTGTGAACCCAAAGCAGAATTCTAATTTCCGTAATACAGGCACAAGTGACAGACAGGAAATCTGTAAAGGGATGCATTTACTTTACATTGAAGAATTAGCAAACCTTAGACATTGTTGGGCTCAGGATTTGAGCTTTTAATATGAATAGTAAACAAAATATTTGCTAGATTGGAACTTACAAGAATTCCATAGTTTGTTTTGAAGAAATAATTCTGATGGTTAGCATAGTGCTAAATTTTATATCAAGTAGATATACCTGCTTGAGAATTTAAAATCTTATAGAACAGAATGAAGAACATTTGTATGTTATTTTAAGAAAGCACAGGTTGTAATTCTCGGAAAAGAAACAGGTTGTCATTGTTAAAATATAATATCAAAGAGCTGTCACCAGAGGCAAGAGGTCATAGTAATTGAAGAGTTTAAACACCAGATTTGTTCAGCTATAAATGTGACATTTTTGAATTGTCTTAGTTTGTTTCATTTCAGAAGTTTTAGCAGAAACAGTAAAATCCAGTTAGTACTCTTGCTAATTAACACCAAGTTATTGAAAGTTACTAGAAACTTGAGAGTGATTCTGTCTTAAAACTCTCACCTACCACAAAAGATAGAACTCTGGATTTAGTTAATTGCTCTATACATTATCTCCAAAATTTTAGAGCATACAGTAATAAGATCCCTTTGAAAGGAGTAGATGTTCTTAAAAGCTTCGTTGTTCAAAATTGAGTGCTGAAGAAAAGGGAATGGTGAAGAAAAAAAGCAACTTTTCTTATGAATAAGGTGGGTAGTGATTAAAACCTATCACAAATTTAGAATTGGAAAGTATATCAACAGTAATAGTTACATTTAATAAATTATGTAATTGGCTCCTCAAACCCGTTCCCTTAGTGTATTTAAGATAGTGAAATGGGCAGAAAAATGAATTAAGCTTTTTGTTTACCAGTATGCTTAAAATATGGCTGTTTAAAAGCCATTAGTGTATTTGAAAAAAGAGTAGATTTGCTACTGCCACTCTACTCATTATAGCCTGACTACACCTGTAGGTAGTACCTGTTGAGGTCTACTATCCTTAACAGTAAAAAGCCATTGAAAAGTGGGAGTATTTTCAGAGACTAGCTGAATTGTGAAGGGACTGGCGGTCATGTTCTAAGGGGGCTGACTTCTGTTGCCTTAGTAAATTAGAGTTCATATTTTTGTTAGTTGTTTTATAAGAATATTCAAAAGATGTCAGGAGACAAAATGAAAATGCTGATGATGAAAATGGTAAGATTAATATAATAGCTTTTTAAGAGTGTTAAGGGAATAAAGACTATAGAAGATTCAGCCATATAATAAAGAGCTATCGGTGGGATATCAGAAATATGTAACTCATTTTACTTAGGTAATTTTTATAAGAGAATATAATAGAAAGATTAGACTGGAACATGATAAAGTCTTAAGATGTTGTTTATTTAGAGTCCAGAGTTGTTTTAGAGTTGATGTCTGTAGTCTCAAATAGATTGCATTCAGAGTATGGAGTAGGGTTATTAGTCAAATCCAAGAAAAATTTCAGGCCTTTGAAAAAAATTTTCTTAAAAGCTGGAAAACAAAAGAGGAAAATGTATTAATGACTGATAAATATGTGATAATGTGAGTTAATCCAACCTCGAAAGAACTCTGCTGTATGCTATTATCCCTGTATTCTAATTTCAAAAGAAATTTTATTACTGCTTTGTATAAAGACATTGTTGAAGACACTGCAGATATATACCAATATATATACTAAGGATGTATACTAGAAGAAAGTCATTTGCCTTCTGGGTCTAATGAATCCTTTCCTGTTTTTTATCTTTTTAAGGTATCTTATAAGTAATTTACACACATGAAATAAAGAATAGAGGAACAAACTTTATTAGGAATTGGAATGTAATTAATTGTAGCAAACCAAACAGAATAAATTGTAGTTGAATATTTAAAGAAAAATTTTTCATGGTTCTTGGTAAGGCATTTCAAGGGAAGAATTAAATTCATAAAATGGCAATCTGTTCAATTAAGCAAAACTGCTCACAAAAGAAACTTAAAAACTAAAATTGAAAAACTACCAAAACTAAATTTGATTGCAAGGGGTCCTATCTAGTGGTTATACAAAGGTTACGATTAAATGAAAAATTAAGGGTGAAGGACAAATGAGTGGGATTGATAAGAGACTTAGAGTGAGTAGAGAAGTAAGAAATAAATGATATGAATATGTATGTATGTGAATTGTAAGGCTCAAGATGAAGTTGGAAATGATCTTGCTATGTTAGGAATTCTTTTGGTGTATCGTTTCAATATGCCTGGAATATGTTCTTATTTAATACATGTGTTTAGTTTGTCTTTTAGCATAAGCTTGTTAATTTTTTTTCCTGTTTAATGCTGTGGTATAGTACAGGCATTTAGCAACAGGAGTCTTTCTAATTCTAAGCATTTGTGTACTTTTAAAAATCTTGAAAATATTTTCCCTTGCTTCTTTAATGCTCTTTTTGGCTCTTAATTTTGTGCTGTTTCCTTTTCTTTCAGTTTAAATGTCATTGGAGGAAGAACAATATACTTTTAAAAAAATTTTATTGAAATATAATTGACACATAACATTTTATATAAGTTTAACTTGTATTACCTGTTGATTGGGTACATTTATGTGTTGATATGATTAACACTGGAGGGTTAACTGATATTACTGTCAAGTCGTGTAATTATTTCTTTTTTGTGTTAGGAACATTTAGCTTTATTATTTATAATCACTGTAGTTGTATTCGTTTAAAAGATAGGGAACTCAGATTGAACAAATAACTTGTTCACTATCCCACAGTTTGGAGTATGACAACAGCAGTATTTTTTAGTTGCTCTTTTCTATTAATTATTTTAATAGTTCTCAGCTTACAGACTACCAAGCACCATTTTTTTAATTAACCCATGACACTTTGTAAGATCACATTTTAGGGGATTTCATGTATTAAGGCATTTTTTGCCCCCATAATAATCCGTTTTCTCCTTTTCAGTTAACACCATAGTCTATGTAGTTGTTAACCAATTTTGTTCTGATTAGCATCATATAAGCAGTGTCACTCTGTCAAGTTGGTTACTAGAATTCTAGTCTTGGGAAAGAAAAGGCTTCATATTGTAAATGTTTCTATAATTAGGCTTTAGTGTAGTGGCATCTATTAAACCTTTTAAAAGTGTTTACCTATCTCAGATGACAAGAGTATTATTTTGTGAAATGCTAGAGAAGACAGTGGAGAAGACCTAAGTTGAGAATTGTTTTTGCTGTATCAGTGATTTTTTTTGTAGGATTTATTTATTTATGCATACAAGATCTGGTGTATAGACCAGAGATGAGGGGAGCAGAATAGGCAGATCTACTGAAATACACTGCTTAGGGGAGCAGCAGGTGAGACAGGAAGGGGTTCTGCTGTACCATTTCAGTTGCTCCCTGGCCTGCTGGAGTTCAAACTTGTGCTGCAAATGGCTGTCGATAGCTTGATAGCACTGTACCTTTAACCCCTGCACCACTAGGGAAGCCCCCAGCATCAGTGATTTTTGATGTTGATATTTGAACTTGATTTTTGCTTTGTAGTTGTAATTTGTGACCTTTTTTTAAAAAAAAAACCTCTCATAACATTTTTATAAAAATGTTAATTACCATGGACATTCTAAAGTCATTCAGTGCCATTATGTGATATCCTTTATTCTCAATAATTTATATTTTCCATAATTACCATGGACATTCTAAAGTCATTCAGTGCCATTATAATTCTCAATAATTTATATTTTCCATAATTAAAAATTTATGTGAAAACCTAATTGATCTTACCTTTCTATTCTAATTAGTACTCTCCCTTTTAATGGAAATGTCCCATCCTGTTAACTAAACTTGGATTTATACAAAATTGCAATTTTAGTTTGATTATAAAAAGATTTAATATGAATTTCTTCATTATTGGTCTCCTTTAGATATAAAAATAATGATATTTGGTCTTCAATTTTTTTATTTGCAATAATAGTTGTTATTTCCTAACATTTATGTGTTTGTATACATTTCCAATAGGCAACCCCTCAAGATAGTCAAGAAGGGACATTTGGGTCAGAGCATTCTGCCTCACCATCACAAGGGAGCAGTCAACAGCATTTCCTGGAGCCTGAAGCAAATATGGATGATTCCATAGATATTCAGCAACAGGTAAAAAGTAAATGCTTTTCTGGGTCATGAATTTGTAAAATTATTTAGAGGGAAAAATTTAAAAGTTTTAGTAACAGTAATATTCTGAATGCTTACCACCCTCCGCAAGTTCTGTATGCTAGTCATTTTACTATTAGGCATTAATGTTGCAGTGGTGGCTGTCTTGTATGGCGGAGTTGTCTCAAAATAGACTAAATCTCAACCAGACTTCTTGTTTGACTTTCAAGGATATGGATATAGATGAAGGACAAGATGGAGTGGAAGAGGAGATCTTTGAACAGGAAGCAAAGAAAGTGGCTGTTCGCTCAAGATCAAGAACACATTCACGATCTCGTTCAAGGTTTTACTATAATATTTAACGTTACGCTAAATTCTTAGAATTTCAAAATCAGAATAATCTTTATTTTCTTTTATATTTATTCCTTTATTTTTATTTTTTAAAAAGATTTATTTATACAAGAACTGGGGTACAGGCCAGATGTGTGGGAGGGTGAGAGGGATCACCAGAGATAGAGCCAGGGACAGAACAGGCAGACTGCCTGAAACACACTGCTGAGGGGAGCAGCAGGTGAGACAGGAGAGTCTGCTGCGCCATGTGGGTTGCTCCACGGCTGGCGGGGATCAAACCGGCACTGCAGAGGCTGCGGACAGCTTCACAGAGCTGCGCTCAACTGCCTGCGCCACCAGGGAGGCCCTATTCCTTTATTTTTAATGGAGGTAACATCAGTTTATAACATTCTGTGTGACTTAGAGGTTTAAGATCACACCCTTCAGTTGTGTGGTACCATATCCTACTCAGCACTCTGGAAATCCTCACCATAGTCATGTGGCTCCTTCCCATTTTGCTCTTTCCCCTTTAAAAGCCCAATTTCACAGTCAGAGTTCTACGGTTTGTTTTTGACTTAATTTTATCTGACCCTTTGTTATGTTTCTTGCTATTCCACATCTAAGTGCCGCCATCTAGTATTTATCTCTCTCCTTCTGACTTATTTCATTTCGCTTCTTCTCCATTTCCATTCATACTGTCACAAGTGACAAGAGTTCATCTTTTTTATAGCTGGGTAGTATTCCATTGTGTAAATACATAACCACATCTTCATAATCCACCTCTCTCTTGTTAGGCATTTAGGTTGTTTCCATAACTTGGCTATTGTAAACAGTGCTGCAATAAACATAAAATGCATATATCCTTTTGAATTAGTGTTTTTGCCTTCATCTTGTAGATACCTGAAACAGAATTGCTAGATTGTGTGGTAGATCTTTATTTAAAATTTTGAGAAAACTCTATACTGTGTTCTGTTTTTAATAATTTTCATGAGTTGGCAGCTATGTCAGTGAGACTTGCAGTTTGCAACAATATTATGACATCCCCACAGCTTAGGATATTACTGTCTCCACTCCACAGTTAAAACAGTAAATTAAGTTATGGGGAAACAGTGTTAGAAATTGAATGTATTTCTTGCATTTCATTTCATCTCGTAATACCAAAAGTGATCATAAAAATCAAACTACAAAAATTGCTTTTACAAATATTAAGCATAATATCAGACAATAATTAAAATATCTAATGAGTGGTTTCCTTTATGGACATTTCAACATGACTAAGGCTTATTTAAATTTGGGTTAAAGGAGCCTTCTTTGGTACATGGTCTTGTAATATGCATACATTTGTACTACAGTCTTAAAAGTCGTTAGTCTTTAAAATTTTTATACACTTTATTCTACAGATGAATACCCCTGAAAATCTGAACCGTTTATGATGGAAGAAGGGTAGTATTTATGATGATTTTTTTAAATCATTATTCATTATAAGATGTATATTTGCTTCTCATATATGAGAGCCTGTTAGTTCAACTTTCTGTAAACTGAACTCATTATTTTCCCAAAACGGTTTCAGCGTTAGTGCACAAATGTCTTTGTCTTAGCATTATGTTTTCTTAGCAGCACTTCCCTATTCGGCATTTTGAAGAGAATTCAGTGGTCTATTGTTGACAGCAAAAAAATGAGTCTTTCGGAATCACCTTAAAATGAAAATTCAAACAACATGAAATTTTAAGAGTTAAAAACTTGGATGGAGCATTGAAACATTTTCTTTTTCCGAATTTTAAGAACATAGGTCTTTCATCCCTGTTATTGACTCTACTTTGAAAAATGAGTTGGAAAACACTTAAGAGAAAGTGAGGTCCTTATTAAAAGCTGAGTCTCCATCTCTTCTTTGTGGTTGTGACTAATCACCCAGAGTCAGGAAGAATCGTTGCAAATGAAAATTTATTAGTAGTGTGGACCTAAGCAGTAGGTAGATTTGAGGAAATACATGTTTGATACTTGATTGCACTTAATTTTTTTGAAGAGATATTTAAATATATGACAACCTTTTTAAACTTTTTGTTTTTTTCCTTTAACTAGGAGTGGGAAGTTTGATAGAAGAATAACATTGTTATTGGAAGTAAAATACGAAATTTTTTGTAGGTCACCAAGAAAACGAAGGTCTAGGTCACGATCTGGTTCTCGAAAGCGTAAACACAGAAAGCGATCACGTTCCCGTTCAAGAGAAAGAAAGAGGAAATCCTCACGTTCATACTCAAGTGAAAGGCGTGCCAGAGAAAGGGAGAAAGAACGACAGAAGAAGGGATTGCCTCCAATTAGATCTAAAACATTAAGTGGTGAGTCACATAGGTTTGCCTACTTTAGGATTTAGCAAATGCTCAGAAAATAGTGAACTGAATCAAACCTATTTCAACTTTGTCAGACTAAGAAGTTGAAAGTAGTTTTGGAAAAGCGTAAGTTTATCTTTGGTTTTCGTAATGAGATAGAGGAGAAAAGAAAAAGAGCAGATTTTATTAAAATGATAAGATATCTGTGAGTTGATAAACACCACATGCACCCACCCATGTAAGTTAGAAAATATAAGTCCCCACTCATGATATAAAAAGTGCACTAGGCCTAGTTCTTGGGCACAGTGACTTCTCCACCTAGTGTCTTGACCAGTTTGGACCCCAGGTCTTCAAGGGTAATATAGGAAGTATGTGAATTTTAAAGCAACTTACAAACTTACTAGATGAGTACTGAAGAAAAAAATTCCTGTTGTATAAATTTCTCCTCTTTTATATGTTACTCTACAGTGTATGATTAGAACAAATTTGGTGGTAGTATGTATGGGGAGAGTGTTCAGAGAGATTTCACAGAGTAGGAATATGAGGTACAGGGAAGCAAGTTTTAATTAGTGTCAAGATCTGCCTAAAGGATTCTCATTGGATTTTGACTTTTAAGGTGAACCAACAGACTGCAGATGGGCAAAGGTGCATAAAATGGAGCAAATTGCCTTTCTGTGCCTAGATCCAAACACTGATTTCTGTAGGTCTTCAGATTTTTTTCTGCCACAGAGACAGATAAGTAATTGGTATCACTTATACTGCGAAAGCATCCTGGAAACCCAGGCTTATAATTTAAGGTGACAACATCCCTCTTTTACTGTTCTGGCAGTTTGAGCTAGCGTGGTCTATTTTGCTAGAATTGTAACTGATTATGAGCCAGTATTAATTTAATAATGTTAATATTTCTAACTCTAAAATTTTTGTTATCCTTTAGAGTAAGAGAACAAATTCAAGCATTTTAGTGCTGCCTGATAAATATTGTTAAAAGTCTGATCTTGAACTCTACTGTGCTTCCTCCAGTAATTACCATCAGGATATTCAGAATCACCAGTTGTAGGATATGGCTTTTACATGGAGTCTCTTTACTTTAGTTCCTTACTTGTCATGTTGCTGCCATTGTTGCCACTATTTACATAGTTACTGACCATGGAATTTATTTTTTATTGCTTTATTTTCATGAGTATCACATTACATTAAAAAAGAAAATTCTGAGAGTACACAAGAAAAAATATTGAAAAGTATGTTTCTTTTTTTCCTTCTCAAACCCTGTTTACTCAGAAGGATATCACTTTCACGTGGTCTGCATTTCTTCCCACCATGTTTTAAGCACATAGTGTTTTCCTGCCTTTGTTCCTGATAATACTAGAGTTTTGTTTTTTGTTTTTTTCCCCCCCAAAGAGTAATTTTATTTATGCATACAAGAACTGGGGTACAGGCCAGAGGTGCGGGGGGTGAGACAATTCACTAGAGTGAATTGAGTGGAGACAGAGTGGAGAACAGAACAGGCAGACTGATTGAAATACACTGCTGAAGGGAGCAGCGGGTGAGATAGGAGAAGTCTGCTGCTCCATGTGGGACCCTCGCCAGCCGGCAGGGGATTGAACTAGTGCTGTAGAGGCTGTGGATTGCGTCATAATGCTGTGTTTAACACCTTGCACTGCTAGGGAAGCCCCATAACACTGGGGTTTTTATAATAAGTTCAGGGAACTGAAACATGAGCAAACAATTTTAAAAGAATTAAGTGTAGCCTCCTTATGGGATTGGGAGTCTCATTGCTTTCTGCAAACACCATGGAGTTGTCCATGAGTAAAATTAGTAGAGACTGCATTAAAGAGTAGGGGAAACTTGGAAACAGATTTCAGGGAGGTTAAGGAAGCTGTATGATGTAGGACAAAGTAATAAAGGTGAAGGTAGAGGCAGGAGACAGTTTAGTGAAAGAGGTCCCAAAATTGGCTGAGAGATTGTGGTAGGTTGAATAATGGTTCCCCAGAGATGTCCTTATTTGAATCATTGGAGTTACCTGTTACATTGCATAGTCTCTGTTAAACAGAAGAGGTGATTTGAAGATGTAAGACAGACATTGGTACATGCCATGCTGTTGGTTTTAAAGATGAAATTGGGGTCATTGACTCAAGGAATGTAGGCAGCTTGTAAAAGCTAGCAAAGACAAGGCAACAAATTGGAAAAACTTCAGAAGAAACGCAGACCCATTCTAGTCCTCTCAAACTGTAAGAGAATGCATTCTTGTGTCTTGAGCTGCTAAGTTTATAGGGTTTTGTTAACAGCAGCAATAGAAAACTAATACATTGCCTTATGAAACTTCAGTTAAATATTATGTATGTATAGCATGAGATTACAAAAGACAAAGAGCAAGTAGCGGGGAAAGAACAATTACCAAGGATCTAGTAGCAGAATGATTCCCAAAACTCACACAAGATCTGGAAGATGCTGATTTTCTAAGTAGAGAAGAGAGTCTTGGTTGAAAACTGCAGTCAGTAGAAATGTTGCAGTGGTCACATCTTACTGTGGGACTTAATTAGTTCTAGAACTAAGCTTTCTCTAGGCTGTCCTATTGTAGAAATGATAATCAAAGAGCTAGAAACGTACTATTTTAAATTACATTGCATAAATCCAAATATTTTAAACTGTCAGTATATCAACTATTTTTTAAGTGTCCTCAGAAAAACATATTCAAACAGGCATGAATAATAAAGTTGAAAGTAGGCAAGATGTCTCGTGATTAGCATGCTTATTAAAGTGGCTTCCAACAGTTAATTCTCTTTAAATCTTTAATGATAACAGGTTAAGAAGTTCTAATTCAGCCTTTTCCCCTTTCTCCATGCAAATTGTTTCCTTAAGGGTAAGGTAATGTTTTCAGATATAACTGTTGTTTAGGGGAAACGATGCACTTAATCATTCACACAGAAAGAAACTTAAAAGGTACACAGAGAGGATTGCAGTGAAAAAGTGGTTTTGCTCCTTGTTCCCAGTCTGTCGTACCCTGTATACCACTCATCAGCTTTGGAGTAGCACCCAGGTGTCCACAGGTGATTCAGTTTTGCAGCCAGGTATGAGAGCAGGTGATATGCAGTAGGTTAACTTGGCATAGATGTGAATAGATGTGGCATAGATGTGTGGATTTCTGTGACTTTAATCTGTTTTAAACCTAACAGATACAAATGTCAGTTGACAAGTATTTTAAATATATTATCTTAAATTTAATTGAAAGAAGCAACTGTGTGTTATGTCTTGACAGTATGTAGTACCACTCTGTGGGTTGGTCAAGTGGACAAGAAGGCAACACAGCAAGATTTAACCAACCTGTTCGAAGAGTTTGGACAGATTGAATCCATTAACGTAAGTATCCGTTCTTAAGGTTTTTAAAAAAGTAGGGGATGTTCACTCATGCAGAAAATCTTTTCAGTTATCAATTAGTCCAGTAGCATCTGCTTTTAATAATTCGTGTATATATATAAGGACTGTAATCATTTCTGTGTTTATGCTGATGCTCTCTGCTTATTTAAGTTCTTTTTTACATGTACATACAAGAACTGGGATGTAGGTCAGAGGTGTGGGTGTGAGAGGATTCACCACAGACAGAGTGGGGCGCAGACTAGGTGGATCTACTGAAATACACTGCTAAGGCAAGCGGTGGGTGAGACAGGAGAGGTCTGCTGCACCATGTGGGTCAGCTCCCTGGCCAGGGATTGAACTCATGCCACAGTGGCTGGCAAGAGCTTGATAGCATTGAGAATTAACCAGGGAGACCCCTATAGTTCTTTTAAAATGAAATTTCAACAAAATATTCTTACGGGTGTTATCGCAATATGGCAGGTAGTATCTATAATTATTGAATATTTGAGTTGATAGGAACCCTATGTAGGATCTAGTTTAATTCTTTTATTTTTATTTTTTATTTTTTTTTTAAATGAAGCTGAAATCCAAAGACTTGTTATGAGCACTTAGTAGTGGTGGAGACTAACTTGGAATCCCTGTGTTTTGCCAGCTTCCTCTGCCCCCTCTCCATCCCAAATTCTCTTTTCTCAAAGCAAATTTTAGACAGGAGAGTAGGTGGCCAGGGCATCTCGCTAACTTGAATGTAACTCTTGCAACTTCTTTCAATGATTTTGTCCCATCCAGTTTCCTTTAACTATTTTCTTCCACATGGGCCATTGTTTTTTCCTAGGGAAAAAGGAAACATAGTTCAGCATTTTGAGGAAATTTGCAATTCATTAAACTTCTGGGTTTTTTTCCACTGTTCCTAGATTTTTATGTCTGTTGGACATTTTATAATTATTTATTGGGAAATTGGCTGGTTTTCCTTTCAGTCTGAGATCAGTTATATAACTAAAAACGCCCTGTGAATAACAGCATTCTTCATTTGAATTTTTTTTTTTTTAAGATTTATTTATTTATACAAGCACTGGGTACAGTCAGAAGCGTGGGAGGGTGAGAGAATTCACCAGAGCCAGAGCGGGGAGCAGAGCAGGCAGATGGACGAAGCACACTGCTGAGGGGAGCAGCGGGTGGCAGGAGAGGTCTGCACGCCATGTGGGACCCTCCTCCGGTGGCCGGGGAGCAGCTGGGGATCGAACCGGCACTGCAGAGGCTGCGGGCAGCTTCGCAACTCAGTGCTCAACCGCTGCGCCACCGGGGAGGCCCTTCATTTGAATTTTTAACCACTTCATATTTTATTTTCAACTCTGTGTGATCTCTTTGGACCCTCACAAGAAGCTGGTTAGGTAATTTATATGCATTATTTTTGAGGAAGCTAAGCAATTGGCCTGAGTTACACAGGAAATTTAATAGGTGATTGGTTAATCCGTTAACCAATATGTAGGCATGATCAGTATCTTAGATTCTTATCAAAGTGCCACAAGAAGAAGTGTGATTTTGATACAAAGCCAAAAGGTACTGCTTCGATCCAACTCTGAATCCAAGTATTGCTTGGGGTTTCCTGATGTTTATGCACGTGTAGTCAGTCTTTCTTACACCACAGTCAGTTATGCATTAGATTGTCTCTCCCACTCTTCTTCCGAATTGCCTTTTAAGAGCATAGTAGTTGCAAATAACAGGCACCGAGTTATTTTGTGAGCTCATTGACTAGTGGTAAAATCCTAGATTTGAAAATAAAATAGATGGAAGATTTATAAACCTTTCTTTAGATTTGTAGAGAATTGGGTACTGGAAAAAACCCATTAGATTTAGCAGTTAGTGTAGGACATTAGTGAGCTTAAAGAGTGTTTTTGTGTATTCATGAAGGGTTGAATCTGTTGCAGATAGGTGTAGAAGTATGCAAAGCATTATATAAAATTCAATTCTGAGAAGTTTAATATTGAAGTTACAGTAGCTTGAAGTGTTAGGATGAATGAGGGAAAGTTTTTTATTTTGACAAATGGAGCAGAGAATATAATTATCAGCAGAGAATATGATCAATATTAAGATAATATGTTAACCATAGTATTTATCTTTAACTGGGGGTGGTATGTGCCTGTGTTTATAAATTGTTTTGCTGTATTTAGTAGTTCCTTATTGTATATTAGAAAAACTAATTGAATTTGGATTTTTCTGAAGCAGTAATTGTACATGAATAATAGCCATAAACAGATAGTAGAGGAAGAAACAGTGACAGTGACAGTTCACTGTGTCAGCTCCTCAGTTGTCAATGTTCTGTTTCATTAACACCATAGAAGGCTATAATGAGTTATTCTCTTAAACCTTCTCTAAAACAATTTTTTTTAATAGATGATTCCTCCCAGGGGCTGTGCTTATGTCTGTATGGTTCATCGACAAGATGCATTTCGGGCTCTCCAGAAACTTAGTTCTGGATCATATAAAATTGGATCCAAGGTTATTAAGGTGAGATTAACTGGGGGTCAGATGTGAAGAGGTGTGGCTATTGTTTATTGCATCAATAGTATGTTACTCTTTTTAATTCATCTTTTTTAAATTGTTATGGACAAACCTCAACAGTAACTTGTTATTTCTGTGTTATTTAGTTATACAGTTAGAGCTAGGTAAAATAAGTCCAGTAACCCAAATTTGAGTCAATTGTTCTTTGAAATCAACCAGGATACCAGGATACCTTTTCAGTTTTAGAGATTTGTCTTTCATTCACGTCTTTCCAAGGTTTCCTCTTCAGACCCTTAATCTCATTCTTGATTTCTTGTCTCATACCACCTAGGTCCTTGAAGAGGGTTTATTTGTAAGTGAATCTTTATTTTACTTAGTCTTTCACTAAGTAAATGCTTAGTGTTTTGTTGCTTTTTTTCCATTTTACTTAATGTGATGACTAATTCACACCTTTTCTGCTTTTTTTTTCTGCCTTTTTTTTTTAAATATACCCATCAGTTTTTGCAACTGAATCAAAACTGTAAGAGAATTACTTTCAAGGGAGTTAATATACCCATGCTTTGTCATTTAATGTTAAAAATTTTCCCTATATAAATGACATTATCACTGGTCTTTCTCTAGGAGAACCAAGATTTTGTCTAAATCATAATTATTGCTGAGGTAGGTTAACTTTTATGGTGACAGTAGATTTGGATTGTTTTTAGAAATGTATTATTTTAAAGTGACTTGAAGCTCATCTGTTTCTAATCGTGACACATAAAGCAAACAAATGAACTAAATAAGAACATAAACTTTTAGACCTTAAGACCAAATTAGTAGTTACCGGGAAGGAGATGAGATAAAAGGCGTGAATTATAGGGATAAAGTTAGACTTTAGTAGCTTACTTAGTATAGTAGTAGAGATATCTGTTTATAATAATGTACAGGTGAAATCTATATTATGTTGTAAACCAGTATTACCTCAAAAAAAAAAAAAAGGAAATAAATCACATAAACAACATTGCTGTCAAATGCAGATTTTATTTTAAAAACTATTATTGCTCTTCCAGTAATGTTTTACCAGTTCAACTGATTTTTCATTTTTTAATTAATTGTGGGTTTTTTTTTTTTTGCTAGCAATGGTTTATAATTCTGTATACAACTTAGGGGTTTCTAGATTTCAAGAGTTTGTTTTGGTTTAGTTTTGACTGTTCCTTTCTTTTTTTACCAACTGATTTTTGAAACTAATTTTATTTGTATTTACATTGTTTACATGTAAATTTTGAACATTTTATCTTTTTTTAACAGTACTTACGAGCTTTCTTTTTTCCTTTCCTCATTCCTGATAGATTGCTTGGGCTTTAAACAAAGGTGTGAAAACAGAATACAAGCAATTCTGGGATGTGGATCTTGGAGTTACATACATACCATGGGAAAAAGTTAAAGTGGATGACTTGGAAGGCTTTGCAGAAGGAGGCATGATAGACCAGGAAACTGTAAATACTGGTAAGAACCTAAGGCTTTGTTTTTTTTTTTGTTTGTTTGTTTGTTTGTTTTAAGATTTATTTATTTATTTATACAAGCACTGGGTATAGTCAGAAGCGTGGGAGGATGAGAGGATTCACCAGAGCCAGAGTGGGGAGCAGAGCAGGCAGAAGGACCGAAGTACACTGCTGAAGGGAGCAGCGGGTGGCAGGTCTGCGTGCCATGTGGGACCCTCCTCCAGTGGGCGGGGAGCAGCCGGGGATCGAACTGGCGCTGCAAGAGGCTGCGGGGCAGCTTCACAACCCAGCGCTCAACCGCTGCACCACCCGGGAGGCCCAGGCTTCATTTTTAAAGAAGAATGCTTGAAAGGTGGTAATTGGAATGTTTTGCATTATAGGATGCATTGTGGTGCTTTTCCCTGAATTTCCCCTTCCCCCAATAAAAGGGAGTGAGAGAGGGAGAGGAGAAAAACAGTACCATGCCCAGTATCGATACTTTCTGTGTTCTGGTGCATAAAAGTCATAGATTAGTGCTTTAAAAGTCTGTATATGAAAGCATGTTTCATTATGTGTCAAAATTTTTGACTCTTTAAGAAGGTTGTATTTATGGAAAAGTTTTAAAGCTAAATATTTCAATTCCTTGAGTTTAAATGGGGAATGGAAACTTAGAGAGCTCTTGGGGGAGAAACATCTTAGTTATTTTGATTAATAACTGTGTTGAGGATAGATGGAATGGGATCTTAGTTCAGGGAGCTGTAGTACAGATTCATCAAGTCTAGAATGCTTGTAATGAGATGCTCATCTGACGTGCTTTTTAAAAATTTGGCTGTTTATTTTTAAAAGTATCATTTATAAATTCACAAAAAAATTAGCAGTTATAATCTGTAAGATTTTAATATTAACTGGGAAAATAATTGAAATATGATATATATCTATTTCTCACATCTTATTACTTCTTACCAGAATCAACTAATTGTTGTTCTTAAGCCATTACAAATATTGCAAACACTTTTTCAGTTTTTTTCCTGTTGGTCTCTTTCTTTATGTATGTTTGTTCAGAACATTCATTCATTCATACAGTACATGTGAGAAGCATAATTGCAAACCAGCGCTAGAAAATTGAAATGGAAAATTCCTTCTTTGAGGAGTGCACATTGTAGCCCAGGAATTGATAGTCTCCTGGGCCGAGTCCTGCCACAGCCTGTTTACTGTAAAGTTTTATTGAGACATAGCTGTACTCACTTGTGTTTACCTGTTTTGTGTACTTTTTTTTTTAGAAAGCAGTTGAATCGTTCCAACCATAGCTCATATGGCTCATAAAATCTAAAATACTATAGAAAGTTTGCCAGCCCATGTTCTGTAACTAAAATAGATAATCTGTTTAGTAATTCAGTATTCTCAGCTCAGAGGAGAAAATGGATGCGAAGAGTAGGCAGCATGGGTTTAGAGCTACCATAGTTTGAAGGGACTGAAGGTCTAATAGAGAGGGTGAGATACTGAAGGGGTGGGACATGCTGCCCTCTCAGGAAGAGCACCCAATACATAGAAGGAGCAGCAGGTGCAAGGAACCAGGGGACCAGTATGACTTGAGCAGTCAGTGAGGAGTAGTGAGTAGTAGGAGATGAAGTCAGAGAGGACAGAGTCATGTATATTGGCTTTGGGCTTCACTCTTGAGGAAGATGGAAAACCATTAAAGCTCTAAGTTCTGTTTTTGTGTAACTCTTTTTTCAGAAAGACTTTTCTGTATTGGACTAATAATTTCCTTGTTGGTCTTCCCTTAAACTTTGTGACAAAATATAGAATGAGGTTGGTTCCTTTTATATCACACAGCCATTGAGATACAGCCTTTCTAAGTGTTATGTCTCTTTGGTCTCCTTAGTTTTCGTCTTGTAATCAGATTTATATGGGCAAAACCTAGGTTGGCACCTACAGTTGTGGACACATCTAAAGATATTCCAAAGCAGATAAAGGATTTAAACATAAATGTATACCTAGAAATAAAATGAAAAGTTACACCTAACTAGAGGAAATAAATTTAAAATATTTTGCTTAGAGTGGGAAACTGTGAAAAGCTCAGAACCTGTTAAAGAGGCGGTCCAGACAACTCAGAGTCCAACTCCAGTTGAAAAGGAGACAGTGGTCACAACCCAGGCAGAGGTTTTCCCTCCACCTGTTGCTATGTTACAGGTTAGTACTGGATGATTTTGTTACTGTTTAATGGGTTGTTTTGCATTTCTGTTTTTATTCATTTATTTACTTTATAAAGTTTTGGGGAAATCATCCAAATTAGAATAAATATCAAAATTTTGTAAGGTTTTATTTGTTTTTCGAAGAAAACAACTATTTAAAGAAAGGGTCTCATCCATATTTAAATGCTTGTTGATTATTTTTGATTGTCTGTGACATTCACTGTTCTAGGCTTCTGTAATAGGAATATATATCAATTAAAAAAAAAAAACCACAAATCCTTGCCCTGAAGTAACTTCTGTTGTCCATATGGGTGATAGAAAATATAAAATACGTTTTGAAGATCTCTGGAAGGAAAAAGATGGTATAAGGGTGGGAGTGCCTTCATAGGTGCTTAAGATTTTCAGTACAATTAGGATATACTTCATTGAGAGTGTGCTGAGCAAAAATCTATAATCTATGGCAATTCAAGGAAGAGCATTTAGGGCAAAGGGAACAGTCAATGCAAAGGTTCTATGCCAGATGCTTGCCAGGTGTGTTCTAGGAATGGAAATAGGCCAGAGTAAAATGGGTGAACAGCAGCTTGATGGAAGGGAAGTTTTCACTCTTTGGTAGAGTCTGTGGAGTATTTTGGTCAAAGGAGTGAGTTTATGTGACTTAATAGTTTTAAACAATTTTCCTGGCTACTATTGTGGGCCTGGATTAGTGGACACCAGTGAAAGGGAGACAGTTAAAAGACAGTTGTGCAACCCCAATGAAAAATGATGGTGGTGGGTCAGCAGACTATACTGATGGTAGAGAGAATGAGAAGTGCTCACATGAGTTTTGGTGGTACAACCATTGGTATGTTGTGGCATAATTAGATTTGTAATTCTAAGAGAAGAGCAAAGGCAAGGTTTTTTGGCCTGAAAAATTTGGAAAGCTGGAGCTGCCATGATCTGAGAATGAAAGATGTGGGAAGAGTTGTGTTTGGAAAGGCAATTGGGAGTTCATTTTTGTGCATGTGAAGTTCAAAGTATCTTCAAGACAACAAAATTGGGATGTTGACTTGACTATTGATAGAACGTTAAATTTTGAGTGGAGTTACAGCTGTAGTGCAGATAATATTTGGAAATTATTATACCTAGGATGAGTAAAAGATAATTATGCTAGGAGTACAAAGTAAACTTGTAAGAAGTTCAAACCAGCCTAAAGTTGTTTTTGGCATGCTTCTTGATGATGGGTTCGGTTGCTGAAGTTAGGCAGGTATATGATAAACTTAAGGGAGATGGCAGTTTAAAATTGAGTATGATATTCCATATCTAAGAAGATACCCATTTCCGTACATCATTTCAAATGTAAGATTTCACAGTCCCTGTGTGAGCTCTCTTGAATAATGTTGTCTTGCTTTTACCCCAAGTAGGTTTATTCACAACTATACAAAAAGAAATAAAACAAAGCAACATAATGGTATTTGTTACCTTCCTAAAACAGAAATAGAAATAATTTATCTTTAGTTGTTCCGGGATGTAATTATTGCAGATGGATAAACTGATTTATGGACTTTTTATTTTTACCCACAAAAGATTCCAGTAGCACCAGCTGTGCCTACAGTTAGTTTAGTTCCACCAGCATTTCCTGTGTCAATGCCAGTTCCTCCTCCGGGATTCAGTCCACTCCCTCCACCTCCTTTTCTACGAGCAAGTTTCAACCCTTCACAACCACCTCCTGGTAAGGAATTTTTCTCTTATTAGTTGAATGCTAGTTTACAGTATCACTTTAATTGTTCTTTTTAAATGCAGTGGAGCAGTGATTCTCAACCCTTTGCGCTCAGTGGATGCACTGCAGAGTGCACACCTGTGCATCGTTGCTCATAGCAGCTGCCTCCTGCTTTGAGAGCACAGAGGAGCCAGGAGAATTGAATTTCTCACATGTTTCCAAGCTATGCAGGCAGAGGAGCATACTTTAAGAAGCAGTGACAGAAAAGAAACGGAATCCTTTAAAATCATTGAAATAACTCAAAATAATTTAAGATTTATCTTGTTTATCAAAGTTCTATTGTTACCACCCATTTATCAGAAAGTATGCATTAACTTTATAGATTGTCCATCTTTAAAATTACTATATTTTAATTTTCACATTAGAAATTATAAAATATCTTAAAAAGTTAATTAAATTTGTAGTAATTTTTTTTGCTGTTATTGATAAATGAAACTTCCTTTAATCACTGATTTTAGGTAAAAACTATAGATTATTTAAACAACACACATCAATTAAATGTCAGTCCTTGTATACCTTCAAAATAGAGTTTTTAGTATTAAACTGTAGAAAATTAGAAGAATGAGGGCAATATATGAGGAATCAAATGACACATATTAGTTTTAAAACCTTTGTTTTTCTTTGAACTTCACATATTATTTACATTATATAAGAAAAGAAGTACTTCAGTTTCTGTAATTTAAATTCTTAGTCATTGTCCAGAGTTCCAAAATGCTGTCAGTAATACCAGAAAGTAAATTCATTGCCTAGGCATGGTTGTAATTTATTTATCATGTAACACTAAAGTTTTAAATGACAGTTATACATAATTTCAATGCAGATTTTAATAAGAATTTCATCTTTTTTAATTTTAAGTAATGGGGAATTACTCTTGTCACATATAACCTGTATTAATTTTTTCAGAAGACATTTTAAATGAGTATATCACAATCTATACCACGTAGATTTTGTAAAGTCATTGTTTGAAAATGACTTTTACTGAAAACGCCCATATTCTTATTTTCCCCTTATTTTTAGCCACTTTTATAATTGGGGTTAATGGTAGCCTGCATTTTAAAAATACAAGGAAGTGGATTTATAGTTTGATCATTTGATATTTAAAAGTAAAAATTATTCACTGCTTAAAACAATATAGTAATACCATGGCTAATGAAAATACTCTGATCTAGAAGCTAAACAAAAAAGATACAGTGGTCCATTTGGCAAGTGACATTGTGTATAATGTTATCAGGAGCTTGAAAAATAGTGTTGCGCTCCATGCAGTCACCATTCTAACATGTAAGCTTTGATTTTACAGCATTATTGAGTGTGTCCTGGAGGTTAAACAATCGAGGCAGGGGTACAACCGGACAATGACTCCTAATAGGATATGCTGTGCTGTACTTCCTAAGGGTCAAATTAGCCATTTGTCTTCTATTTTTCGGCATCCCTTGGATGGACACAAACCAGAAAAGTAATTTCTGAAATAGAAAATGTATTCACAAATATGAGGTCATAGTAATAAGACTGTTTTAAGATGTAGAATTTCATTTATAGCTGTTGAAATCTTTGACTTAAAACATGTCACTTATGCTGTTTTATTCTTTTTTTTTTCTCACATAGGTTTCATGCCACCTCCAGTTCCACCTCCTGTTGTTCCACCACCTACTATTCCACCAGTGGTACCAACATGTAAGTTTTCTACTTTTAGTTCATTTTTTTCTTTAGTCATGGCATTATTAGTCTGTCAGTTCTCTTTCTTGTTTATTGTTAATTTTTTATTTTTTGTTAATAAAAAGGTAACAGTACCATGATAGCCATATTTAGATTTGTTTGATTTGCCACATGCCTTTTTATGATTGGTTTATTTTAATCAAAAGTCAAAGAAGGTTCCTACATAATATCTGTGTTTTTTATTTTGTCTTTGTGTTACATGTCTTAATCTAGAGCAATCTGTCCCCCCTTTTTTCATCCTTCATATCTTTACGTTACTGAAAAAAATTTTCTATATGCAAGATCACAAATGAGTTTGACTTTTTGCTTCTTTGTGGTGATGAAATTAGCTCCATGAATTTCCAGTAAAGTGAAAGCTTTTCACAACAAAGGTTTGTTTAGAATCTGCTTCAGCTTTTTTGGCAAGAACACTTGCTAGGTGTTACAGATTGGATACTCTGTCGTATCAAAAGCCACACATGGCCTTCATGTCCCACTTTTCAGTCTCTGCTTTCACAGTTGAGCCATTTGGGCTCTTCTTATCCCACCTTTAGTGATACTAAGATGGATTAAAGTATTGAGGTTAAAGAATTCAGTCACTGAAACCATTTCCCTTCAGATTTCATCCATTGATCCTCATTACTTGAGTCTGCGTTTTCTTAGTTCCAGAGTGGTGATCTTAACAATTTTATCGTTCCTTTCACATTTCTTAACTAGAATTTTTCTATAAAGAAAACCTTTCTTATCAACTAATAGTATTTAGTTATCTTGAAGTAGAATTGTACAGGAAAGGCAGAGTAGATGCTCAATTCCTTCCTGCAAGTGCCACTTTTCAGAGTAGTGAATCAGTTCTTTGTCTTTTCTCCTGACACATCCAGTGACTGAAGAGGTGATAGGATTGCTCTTATTTCTTCCCTTTCTTCAGTGTTCATGGGTTAACCGATGTTAATTTCCAAGCAGTTTCATTCACTTTTCAATTTGAAGTTCAAACTCTTCACTCTTTGGACAATGAGACATCTTTCATATGGAGATAACTACCTTAGCTTTTGTGAGCTTCATAACTTTTGGGGCCCAGTATTGGCCCATAGGAATGTATTTTTTTTAAACAATATATATATATGGTAAAGAGGTTTCCTTTTGATAATCTAATACATTTCCTTTAATTTTTTAAACTCTCTTCACTCTGTTAGTGCTTAGAGAGCATTAGACTCCCTTTTTGTTAATGTTGGTTGTCTAGGAAGAATTGTTCTTCCTGAAATTAGAGAAGTTTCAGAAACCATTTTTGAAGTCATAACAGAGACTCATCTTAGAGTCTTCCTCCAATTATCTCTTAATAGATTATTCACTTTGGAAAATTGGCACCAATTTTATGGAGGGAGAGAAAATAGAATGTGCCAGGTGCTCTCCTAATTACTCACACTGTCTCATTTAATTTTCCTGATTCCCAATATTATCCCAGGTGGTTTTACCCACTTGTATTGCAATTTTGTTGTGTGCTAAAAGCTTATCCAGGTAATTGAGAATTGAATGTTAGGATAAACAGTTTCTAAAATCCCCCAGTAAGTGATTTTAAAATATTGGATGGTGGTATAAGGTGGTATAATTTGGAGTAAAAACATATTAGTTGTTTGTGATTTTGTATTATTCTGGTTCTGGGTTTTTGGATTTTTTTGTTTTTTGTTTTTTGGGGTTTTTTTGACATATATAACACACTTAAGGTATTCTACCCATTCTTTAAAATGGATTGTTGATATTTATAATTTGCTTTTCATCTGATGAGTTTTGTCAAACCTCATTTGACAAGAAGCAGTGACTGTTAGGACCCTCGTATATTAATTTTAAGAGAATGAGTAGATTTTCATTCTCCTACTATGTCATTTTTGTCATTTCAGTGTATTTAGAGATTCACACACTGGCATCCTTGTAAAATTGTGTTGTGTTTTTCTTTTTCTCCCTTTGGTATTGCAGGCATTTTCTTCTCAAGTACTGTTCCTTTACTGAAGGGCTTTTTTTTTAATGAAAATAGTTCTAAAAGGTGCTGGTTTTCCCTATTTTTAAAGAGGAAAGTTGTAAATGTAACTTAGCTTATTCATGATGACTCATTTGTCATTTGAATAGATAATGCTTTAGGTAATGCAGAGATGCCATTAAATGACATTACCAGAAACTAGATTTTACTATAAATGAAATAGAAGGACCAAAAGATAAGTCATGGTTATATTAATTGAGTAGTCTTACCAAATGATCCTAGAGGACAGGAAGCATTTACTATTTTGAAAGGCCAATTTTTGTCATAGTTAATGTTTTAACTTAGCACATGAATTGGTTAAGCTAGTTATTGAAATACATGTCCTTCCTCTTTAAACAGCTTTAGTGCAGCCGCCATTATCCATGACTCCAGAAACTGTGAAAGATGTTGGATTTGGTAGCCTTGTTTTACCAGGTGGTTCTGTTCCCAGCAATCTTGCTACTTCCACTCTGCCAGCTGGAAATGTTTTTAATCCTTCAGCTAAAGTAGAGCCTGAAGAAAAAGTACCTCACCTTATAGAACACCAGATTTCTTCTGGTGAAAATGCCAGATCAGGTAAGGAAAAAATTCCCCAGAAATACACTGTCAAATCATAAAATGCTACTTCTTGATGTTGATGGTGCCATGCGTGTGTATCTACTTAGTGCACAAAGGTTAATGTGTTTTGATTTGTGGGGGGGGCGGGAGGGTGCTGCTCCCTAGTGGCCCAGGAGGTTGAGCACAGTGCTGTGAAGCTATCCGCAGCCTCTGCAGCATGGGTTCGATCCTCTCCTGTCTCTCCCGCTGCATCCCTCAGCAGTGTATTTCAGTCAGTCTGCCTGTTCTGTTCCCGGCTCTGTCTCTGGTGAATCCTCTCAACCTCCCACACATCTGCCCTGTACCACCCAGTTCTTGTATGCATGAATAAATAAATAATAAAAGAAATATGTTTTGATTTTTAAAGAGAATTATATTCCAAATTTCTACTAAAAAAATAATTGGGCATTCTATTCAGGATAGTAAAGATCTTGACACCTTTCCATTAAGAACCATCTCCTTCCTTTCTGGCCTTTTGCCTGCTTCAATGTCTTGTTATCAAAATAAGATTACATAAAATATGTCTACTTACAGAAAAATTAAATGAGCAATTATTAGATATACATAACTTCCTTCTACTGGAAGGTATCATTTAGCTTTGCCTAGAAGACACAGATTGTGCTGAAAAGCAGCCAAGTCCTTTTTTTATGGTGCCACTGATAATATATCAAGAACGCTTTGTGATTTAGAAAGATTTTTGTTACAGTTGAAGAATTAGTATAAAACCTACATTTTTGCAAAGGAAACTTCTGGGTGATCGCCCCATTTAAATTTTAATGTTTAAATTTCACATTACCTGGTATTACTAATTCTCATTTTAATGTTTACTTAGTATCTAATGTGCCTTGATTCTTGGGATATAAGTAGTTGATAAAGCTAAACCATTGCAAATTGTAGCTTTAATAAAGTCATAAATGAAATTTCCTTTTTCATACCAGAATGATTGTTATCTTGTGTTTTTTCTTCTTTCGGTTTCAGTGATTCCAAGTGATATTTCAAGTAGCCCTGCAATTTTAGGAGGACAGCTGCCAAATGTGACCAGCAGTTCTGGAATTCTGGGAGTCCAAAGACCAAATGTATCAAGTAATTCTGAAATCCTTGGAGTCCGGCCGCCTAATGTTTCAAGCAGTTCTGGGATGATTGGAGCCCAGCCACCAAATGTTCTAAATAACTCTGGAATTTTGGGGATACAGCCACCTAACGTGTCGACTAGTTCTGGACTTTTAGGTGTGCTGCCCCCAAATATTCATAATAATTCTGGACTAATAGGAGTACAGCCACCAAATGTTCCAAATGCTTCTGGACTTTTGGGAACACAGCCACCAGCTGGACCTCAAAACTTGCCCCCTCTCAATATCTCTAGTCAGAGGATGCCTGCAATTCCAATGTTAGATGTTCGTCCAGGACTTATACCACAGACACCAGGACCGAGATTCCCTTTAATGCAGCCTGGAATTCCTCCCCAAAGGGGTATTCCTCCTCCATCGGTACTTGATTCAGCTCTTCATCCACCACCCCGTGGTCCTTTTCCTCCTGGAGATATTTTTAGTCAGCCAGAAAGACCTTTTCTAATTCCAGGAAGACAAAGTATAGACAATGTTACTAATCCAGAAAAACGGATACCAGTTGGGAACGAAAACATTCAACAGGAAGGAGATAGAGATTACCGGTTTCCTCCCATAGAAACCAGGGAAAGCATTGGTAGACCTCCCCCAATGGATGTTAGGGATGTAATTGGACGGCCTATAGATCCAAGAGAAGGTCCTGGAAGGCCTCCATTAGATGGTAGGGATCATTTTGGAAGACCTCCTGTTGACATAAGAGAGAATCTTGTGAGACCAGGTATAGATCATCTTGGTCGAAGAGACCATTTTGGCTTTAATCCAGAGAAGCCTTGGGGGCATAGAGATTTTGATGAGCGAGAGCATCGAGTAATACCTGTCTTTGCTGGTCCAAAAGGCTTACATGAAGAAAGAGGTAGGTTTCGGTCTGGAACCTATCGATTTGATCCTAGAAGTGGTCCTTGGAACAGAGGATTTGGACAAGAAGTTCACAGAGATTTTGATGACCGCAGAAGACCCTGGGAGAGGCAGAGGGATAGGGATGACAGAGATTTTGATTTCTGCCGAGAAATTAATGGAAATCGTCTTGGACGCGATAGAATTCAAAACACCTGGGTCCCTCCTCCTCATGCTCGGGTTTTTGATTTTTTTGAAGGGGCCACTTCTCAACGAAAAGGTGATAATGTGCCTCAGGTTAATGGTGAAAATACTGAGAGACATGCTCAACCACCACCTTTACCAGTACAGAATGATCCTGAACTTTATGAAAAACTGCCGTCTTCAACTGAAATAAACAAGGAGAAGAGTGACACAGTTGCTGATATAGAAAGTGAACCAGTGGTAGAAAGCACAGAAACTGAGGGGACATAATCATCACTCAGTAGGTAAAAGATACCTTTTGTAAAGTTGTCATCTCTCTGTAATAGATTAATGGCTGACTGGACCATAGTTGTTCACTTTTGTCTGCCAGAATTAAGTTAATCTGATGTTCATGTTCACCTTTCTCTTAAAATAATTGTAAACTGACTTGTATAGACATTGTTCTTATATGAACATGGTAGGTAAACATTTTTTATTTTTCTGATAAAATATAAATGTTGCCCCCCAGATTCTTTTAACTTCAAGGAAATGAATAACAGCTTGTCAGAGACTTCCTATGGAAGAAAGAATTTTTTAGATACTACCATTAGGTTGGATATGGTAATAGATATATTTCAGAATAGCAAGTGGAGGTATATCTTATCCATATCTTTAGGCTGCTGCAGAATTTTAAGGTAATAGACAAAGCTGTGATATTTTATGCAAAGACTGGCTCTAGACATTTGAGGAGCATAATACAGAGATTTTAAAAAGTGATTTTGTAAAATCTACACTATGGTCTCTGTTTCTCCAAAGTAAGTGTTTGTGATTTGTTCCTCATACTGCAGTGAGTAAAAAAAGAAAAAAAAAAAAAAGAACAACATAAATATTAAAGTACGTTTCAATGTTGGGTGAATTTTGTTTTTAGATGCCAATAAAAACTTATTTGTTTGATAACAGTGTTCTAGGAATTGTATTTTTTTAACCTACAAATGCTTAAAACCCTGGATCATTAGCTGCATGTGCTTAGTTATTGCAGAAGTTTTCTATTCTTAATAATGACAATGAAGAACTGTGTGGTTATAAAAGCATGTACTTTGATATAAAATCATGCAGTTTCATTAGTATGTATGTAATATTTGTGTATATTTATTGTGTAAGTCATGTAGATTCTTCTCTTTCTCTGTATGTCTATCTTCATGCACATACAGAGAAAAATAGAAAATTGATGAAGTTTAGATAATAAAATATTCTTTTAAACCTGGTAGAAAATAAGAGAAATTTGGCTGATTGCAAATTGCTCATAGTTATAACTCTTAGCCTATATGAAGGTAAAATAAGAATTATTGTAAAGAAATGCAGTGGCAATTTGGCAATTAATGTAGTTAAGCACGAAGCCAGATTTAGCATGGAGCGAAATGACACATAAATGTTTGCAGTGCTTTATTTCACACTATGCTTGCTGTTCTGCACAGATAGTGCTAGTCTAAAGTACTTACTGGTCACTCGCCTGAAGTAAATTTCATAGCACAGACTGTATAGCTGTGTGGTGAATTCAAAAATAGTAATGTGTATTCTAGGAACAATGTGTTGGTCATGTGTTTTATAGGCTCTGGGTAACAGTTACCTCCAAGGTAAATGAGTAGCAGAAAATTTGGGGATTGGTTTATTGTTTATTAATTTATTAGTTTTTTTTGCTTTTAAATTTCATTTATTTGCTGTTTGTTTCTCCTTTTGGTTTTACATGTATATAAAATCATTGGTGGTTTTTGTTTTTGTTTTTGTTTTTTTAGTTTCTAATGAAGGCTTTTATTTTGGTTCTATGAGTAGTCATTTTGTTGCCTGTGCATTTTCAACAATTCATCATTTGCTTGATTTATCTAAAAATCTTGAGCTGTTTTTGTTAAGCCTCCAGAAAATGATGTAGCACACCAACCATTTAAAGTTGGCTTGGTTTTGCTTACCTCTGATGATCTAAAGGGCATATAAGAGCTTTATGGTTCCTGGCCAAAAATAAAGCCTTTTCTTATAGATTCTGAATAGACATAGTACATTATTAATTTTGTTATTTGGAAAAGTGAGTAGAAATTTGCTGCTTATTTCAGTTCAATCCAATAATTTGAGTTGGCATAAGAACTTTTCCTTAGAGTAACAAGAAAACTGTGACATTGGTACAGAGTTTTTTAATGTTCAGGGAAAGATTAACCTTGTCCTTTAGGGAAATTATATTGACTGACATTTCTCTCAAGCTACTTTAGTTGCATTTAACATTATGAAAATTAAGTGACATTCACTTGGGTTAAGTAGCAATAAAAATGTGAGACTTTTCAGTGACTTGATGCCAAGCTTTTTTGTCACTGTTGGGCCTTTATGTGCAAACTTGAAAACAAAATATGTACCATACTTGCATTGGTTTGAAAATCCTGGTGGTGAAAGTTATCTATTTCATTGTCAGTACTATGTCTAGCACCCATCTTGGAAATGTGTGACACTCTTAAAATAGCTGGGGGGAAAAAAATCATGTACTTGTTCTCATGCTTTGTTCTTATTTTGTTATATAATGTTTAAGTGAAAGGCTTTTACTCATACAGAATTTTCAAAATTGATATTTATGTTCACCATGTTTTTAGATGATCAAGAGAAAAATTTTGTCTTTAAGAATTATGATGTAGGATTTAATCACATTTTTAATGCTTTTGATCACAATTGCAGTCACTAGAATGCTAACAATTAGAAACATGCAAGGAGTAACCTAGCACTTTAACAGAAGGGTTTGGAAAGCTGCAGGCAGTAACTGTATTCAACATCAAGTCACACATTTTTCCTCATTCATGATATGTTGGGAGAGAGAGAGAGTGACTTTCTGCAGTACTAGTAGGTATTCATTTTTAAAATTTTGTATGTTTAAACATTTCATTAAACATTGGCTTCTGTTCTTGCCGTAAGGGCATATACTGTACTCTGGCAATTTAAATTGTAGATAGAAACTTTATAGCAAAGTAGCCTTTATCTGCAGCATATTGCAGGTGGCATGTTCCTTTATTCTAACTTTATTCAGTTATAGGGTGGAAAAATATTTTGAAAAGTATTAGAGATGGAATAATATAGAATTGTTCTAAAATTCTGTAAATGACTTCATATAATATTTAATTGATAAAATTTGCTTATATTTAAGCTATTACATCCTTACCAGAGCAATTCCTTTTATCCTGATAATTGAGTTACTTTATTAAATTTACTGGCTGTCTTCACTTGTGTAAAAGTTTAGAGTTTATGGAACTAAACATTAATCATAGATTATTTCGGGGATGGGGCATTTTTGTTACACTTAAAAGGAAAGTTACCTCTTTTAATTTGAAGAAGTATTTTTTATAAAAACCATTATTTATCAGATTTAAGGTGCCATTCATTGTAAGAAGCTTCATTCAGGGAAAAAAAAAATGCTTCCAATATGAAATGCCAGTAGTTATAAGACCCACCCCTAATTCACTGACAAAAATGTAAATAGTGTCTTACCAAAAAAAAAGAAATATGGCATTCATTATTGGACTTCATATATTTCCCTTTCTCAGTAAGTGATTTAATGAACATTTTGATGATTTTCTTCATTGTATATATCTTAATAGGCACAGCCTTTAAATGAACGGAAAATTTTAATATCCAATTAAAATTTTTGCTCTGCCTTATGTGCCTTCTTCATCATTATTACTTTATTAGGTGCTATATTAGTAAAATGTTTTAAGGACTTTTAACTCTTAAAGAAAGAAAACCATTTTCTCTTTAAATATTTTACATAATATAGAAGGAGAACAAGTATATATCCATTTATAAGAGGCACAATAAATTGTTTTAAGTTACCACATACTGCAGTGTGACAAGGAATAATAAATGTTTCCTTAATTGATGATGCTGTGGATTTATATAAAACATCTTTTAGAGTATAACATATGTTGTACCCCTAAAACTTTTATTTTCCACTTCTGAAAAAAAAAATAAATCAGGTTATTACACGTCTAATGTGAGATTATACATAGGATACCTTGATCTACCAAAATATTCTGGAACTAGCATTTAAAATTAATTGCCTATGTTTTATATATTTTGAGGCTATCAGGCATGCATATTAAAAGCAATTGAAAATACTATCTCTGTGGTCCTCAGCCAGTAATATATAACAGTATCACCTGTGGAGTTCTTTGAAAGTATTGGGGCAGGGGTGTCACCACAGTCTTAACAATACAGAATCTCCAGGGGTGAAACATACTTTAATGCACACAGACGCTAGTTACACCCCCACATTTCTGGCTTGTTGTTTTTTAAACCTACATACCATTTTATAGAGAGATTAAAATATGTGTGTGCACTAGAGAGTCTTAATTTTTTTTAAAGATTTATTTGTTTATGCATGCAAGAGCTGGGATGCAGGCCAGAAATGCGGTGGGTGAGAGGATTCACAAGAGACAGAGTGGGGAGAGCAGAACAGGCAGATCCACTGAAATCCACTGCTGAGGGGAGCAGCGGTTGAGACAGGAGAGGTCTGCTGTGCCATGTGGGTCACCTCCCTGGGCAGGGAGGGATTGAACTCGTGCTGCAGTGGCTGCGGGTAGTTTCATAGTGCTGCATCTTAACCCTTTGTGCCACCAGGAAGGCCCAGATTCTTAATTTTTTTTTAATTAAAATTTTTAGTGATTGAAAATTAATTGGTGTTGCAGGATAGATAAAAAATAGAAAAGTCCATTATCGCAGATGTTTTAAACTCACTTGCTCATTTGGAAATGAATAACAGCAAGAAAGGGGTGGGAGGAGGCATAGGAGATGGCTTTTCAGGGAGTGTTTTTGATTCAAGTGAAATTTTATATAGGATACCTCGAAAAATCAGTCATGTAATTGTTTTGGCTATTTGAGAGATCCCCTTTGGGACAAAGTTGAAGCATTAAATTGACCAAGGACCATATCGTTAGTAGCAGGACCACTTAGATGTGAGTTGCACATTAAAACCAACACACATCAGTGGTTTATTTTGGCGTGGCCCTTGCTCATTATTCTTCCTCGCTACTAAATCCTCTTTCATCCATTGTGCATGCTTAGAATTGCTCTGCCTTGTTCCATTCGCAATATGAAACAAATATTTTAACTAACTAGTAACATACAGTATAGCTAGCTAATACTGCGCTGAGGGGTTGCCTATCCCGCGGAAGGACAGTAGGATTACCCGCAGTGAAGGGAGCCCAGACAGCCCTGATGTGCTGAGCTCAGCGGATGGGGGAGGTGAACTTGAACACGTGGGTTTGAGCCCTGATTTAAT